CTGTGGTTGACGGAGAAAACTAAACACCCATTGAGGGGCCCAGCTACCAGCCCATGGACTGTTGTCGACAGTGGTTCAATGTCAACTCTCGTCTATAATTTGAATTGCCAAAAACATAAACACACCGGCAATTAACAATTACCACACGTGATTTGCACGTCTAACCTCGCCGCGACTTTTGTCGAGCTGCAGTCGTCGCAGTCGCCTCAGAAGCAACAGCAGCAGCAGCAGCAGCAGCCGCATGGGCCACAGCAACAAGTCGGCGCGCTGCTACATATTAATGGACAAAAGAGAAAGCAGGTCACTTGTATGGCCAATAGCCAGCAGCGAGCAGCAGTCGCCGCAGAGTGATTGCCAATCGAAGAGTTGAGCAACACACATCGAGATAGAGGCTAATGCCAATGATGCCTCAACCCATGAGGCTGTTGTTGCGGCTGATGCTTCTCGAAGGTGACAAAGTGAGTTGTGAGTTGTGTGTTTCGATGTGTGCAAACACCTCCAATTTGTAGCCATCAAAAATTAACTGAATGCCAGCGCTGTCGATTGCTCTAATTATGGCTTCAAGCGCTGAAGGGCTTCGGCCACGAAATAAACAATGCCAAGTCAGATTTTCACTTTCGATTTTTGACTGCTCTGCATACGCGAGTGGAATGGAATGGAATGCCAGCTGCATTATAATTAGCAGCATCTCACTTTTCCCATTGTTGGTCTCTGAATCGGCTTCCTTCAGCCGAGTGTCTGAGTATCTGGCTGACTAATTTGCATGTGAGCCGCTATAAGGCCATAAAACATATCTATTCATTTAGCATGTAGTTAATTTATGCCAATCCGTTGTTGTTTCTCGACTGTCGGTCGAAGGCGGGCCAGCCTCCATTCCGTCAATTCATCAAGTCTTGCTCCATGGCTCAGAAAGTGAAAAGCAAGAAAGCCACAGACGCTGCCACAGTCGCTGCCACAGCCACAAACAAAACAATTAAACTGATCTAAAATCTGTTCATTAAATTAGATAAAGGGAAATTTCTAAGTCGCTTTTTATGGGAGGGGAGAAGCCAGAGCAGCCAGCCAGACTAATAAAAATTAAAAAGCATAAAAATAAAAATAAAAAAAAGCAACTCCAAGCCGAAAATGTATTTATGGACGATTGCCGGAGCAGAAAAGATTTCTACTCGAGTCATCGTTGATAATAAGAAATGGGGGAAAAGCGCGTAAGCAGCCGGAAAAATGGTCGAGTGTTGATCCATCAAAGGGAAACGAGTTCAATCTTCAGTGTTGCCGATCAGCGACATTAAGAGCGAGGGAAATACCAAATTGTTGCTATTTTAATAAGAAACTTCGGCAGTTGCTACATAGAAAGCTCTTTCCAAGAATAAACATAAATCTGCGATATCTGTGATCTATCAAGCGATTTCTTCATCAACAATTAATGATCGTTTTATGCAAAACTAGTTCCCAGAACACGCCTCAGTGAAATCAACTTTTACGATGACAATTCCATTCAGCACCGTTGGCTGTTGGCTAGCTGTTGTTTCAGCGCCCCAACTGTCCCACCCCGCCCAACCGCCCATCATTAGCAGCGATTAGTTGTGAGCCCAACCCGAAAACAAAGCATCCAAAACTACCCACAAGCTCTGGGAAAGAGCAGACAGACGCATGGAAACGTAAAAGTTGAACCTCATCGAGCCTGGCCGATATCTGGAATAAGCCAAAGCGCTATCCGAGCAAGTTGTAAACGCGCGCTAAGCGCATACAAAACGACAACGACAGCGACAGCACAGCACCGCAGAGCACAAAATAACGGTTTTTCATTATAATTGAAGAAGAAACTGAGCGAAGAAACGTTGAAAGCGCAGCTAGCTCGTATGTGGTGGCAACGAGACAGGCAGACAGGCAGGCTGGATGGTTGGGATGGGGAGGGGAATCACAGTTGCTCATTAGATTACGGGTAAAATGAGCGGGTTGTGAGACGCCAATACGAAATGTGAAAGATATTGAAAAGCAGCTCGAAGTCCACACAGCACACAGCACACACCACATATCGGCATCTTCAATTGTTGGATAGCACTTTCTCTGGACGAGGCAGACAAGGCAGGGATTGCATAATTTGGGCGGGCTTGGCCGGGCCGTGCAGATGACTCAATGGTGGTGGGCAATCATGCAAACGTTGACGTCGACACCGTGGGAACTGAATAACTCTGAATAACTGAATACCTGAATACCTGAATGTCTCAATTCCCCTGCATATTCATGTCCATATTCATCATGTGTGTGTGTGTGTGTGTGTTGTGGTTCGTGTTCATTCGACCTCGACTCACCTTGGCATTGGGCTGCTGCTGGAGCTGCAAGAACGTGGCTATTCCATTGCGCACACGATTCTTGACGCCTCGCACCGTTCCCTTGGCCGAGCGAATGGTGGACTGGGTGGAGCTGGTGCTGCATCGCACATCCCGGTAGCCGGCGAAGAGATCTTGCTGTTCCGTTAGGCTTGCGGCCATCTCCGACTCGTCGCCGTGACGCGCGAAGCTGCTAAAGTTCTCGTGCTCGTTAATGTGAAAGCTGTAGTATTGGTCGTCTGCATATTTGTAGTTGATGTTGCTGCTGCTGCTGCTGTTGCTGCCCCTGCCCCTGCCATTGGTGTGGCTGTGGATGTTGCTGGTCACTGGCAGAGATTGCGAGGCGGCCTCAATGCTGTCCAACGACTCCTCACCGGTTTGCACAAAGTTGGCTCTCTCCACGGCCGCACGCAGCTCCTCGATTTTCTCCTCGCTCAGCGACTCGCGCGACAGGCGCAACGACTTCTTGCTCGCTGGCATTGGCTTGTCCTTGACCTCGGCGTTGGCGTTGGCATCGACATCGGCCTGGGTATCGACGTTGCCCGTGTACTGGACCACGTACTCCTCCGCACTGCGCCGATCCCGTATGTCCCGCAGCAGAGAGTCCGGCAGCAGGGAGCCCAGGGATCCCAGCATGCGTATCGATTTCTGGCGCTGCCGCTGCAGCTGCAGCTGGCCGCTGGGCTGGGAGGCCGCCTGACGCACGTACTCCGTGCTGCTGCAGTTGAGCGAGTCGCTGCCCAGGGAGGAGGGACCACTCTCCTCGCTGTCGTCGGTCAGCAGCGAGGCTGGCTTGGCCGGAATGCCGTTGCTCTCCAGATCGCTTCCGTTCCCGCTGTCCGCTCGTTCGCAGTGTGTGGCATACTTCTGGTACTGATCCATGTAGCAGTTTCCCGGATTGCTGCCACTGCCACTGCCATTGCCACCTGCTGCTTGCTGTTGCCTCCTCCTACTCCCGTTGTTGTGGTTGGGGGCGTGGCGACCACCATGATTATGTGTACGGACGGAAGGGGCGCTATGTAACACGCGGCTGACTTTTCAGTCTGGGTAGTCTTCTGGTCTGAGTTGCAGGCTTTGCTTATTATTATTTGTTTGCGTTCAATGACTCTGACTCTGACTCTGGCTCTGACTTAAACGGACGTTGCACCCGACGTCGCATGTCTTTATGCTTCAGCTCTTGTCGTTAGACTGGCCCGACTGTTTCTTGCAGCCAGCGGCCAACTGAGCAGCCAGAGTCGAGTGATCGTGGCTCTCTCACACAGCACCTGCCAAGACACTCTCTTGCAGTGTTTCTCTCTGTTAAGCCCATTTCTCCAGCCGCATTCAGCACTGGCTCTACCACTCTCTCTCTCTCTTCAGTCATTCAGCAACTCCTGAGCTTGGTTTGCTTTCTTTCTTTCACCCGATTGCATTAGCCGCGCGTTATTAGATTTTGTAATTTTAGCGGCCGTTTCTGTGTCTGTTTCTATTTCCACTTCCAAATTGTTTGTCATTAGTGGCGAAGAAGTTTCTGCCCGCTTCGCGAATATTACCAATTGGCCTACAAAGGCAGAGGGTGCGCGGGGAGGGGAGCAGCATGACGCCTGCGCGTGACTGTGACGTTATACCACTGGAGACTGCCTGGGGGGAAGCCAACTGACAAACGTAGCCGATCATTTGCCCAGATTAGCCATGGGGTTGCGCTCGAGAACCGTCAGAACACAAATTAGCAGAAATGTTGGCAATGTTCTCCACAATTAAATAATTAAATAAATAAAGTACACGAAGAATTCGATTTGTGGTTGAACAAGTTTCAAACATTTAATGGAATAAAAAATCAGCAATCTGATGCAAATGATTTTCGGCACTCTTTTTATGTAATAATTATTTCATGCAGAGTTTCTTAATGGTTTGGGAATTTTTCACATTTTTATCTGAGTGTCAGGCAGAGACGAATATTAAAGAATTTCCTCTACTGATAGTCAAAGTTTTCTGATTCATTCAAAAGAACAAAATGACAAACAGTCTATGGCCAACAAAGAAATTATTGTGCGCAAATAATAAAAGATGCCAAATAGCTGCTGGGTGGGGTGGTTCTGTAAAGCCCCTCCCCGCTGGCGTTGGGGCGCATTATCAGCTTAGAGAAGTGCGGAAAAGATACAGATAATAACTATAAAGTTTTGGCAGAACTGTTGCAGCAGCAACCGCACAATCAATGCAAATGCCAAGTTTGGCTGGCTGGGGCTTATCTGGTGGCTTTTCCGAAATCAACCGAATATCACGTATCACGCCACACAGCACCCAGCAGCCCGGAGCAGAGCAGGCGGAGAGGAGCGGCAGTTGGAGCGCTGCAATCAAAGCCACAATAAAGAGTTGCATCTAATTGACAAAGCATGGTGTGGGGAGGGGGGCAGGGGGATCCGCTATCATTAGAGCGAGAACAATCGAAGAATCTATCGGGCTGACTGACAAATTTTGTTCTGAATTGATGCCGATTCCGATGCCATGAGCTCGGTCTGGTCGGGCGAGCGTGTTTATCGCGCAATTTGATGTCTGCAGAATTTTGGGGTCCGATAACATCATTTTGTCTGACTCCGCCGCCCCATGAGTGTGCGCCAGATTGCGGCGCGTGACAGCGTTGACATATATAAGGCCGAGATGCGTCTCAGATTGTATTGAGTCTTACAGTTTCAGAACTAGAGGAACATGGCTGATGCAAGGCAAGTGCTGCTGCTGCTCTGCTTGGGAATATATATTTCGGTGGCTTCCGCTGGCACGATCAATGGCCTGCATCACGGATCCACATGCCACAACGATGACATTCCCATGTGCGCACGGAGTCGCGACAACGGCATGTACTTCCTGTTCAGCAACGAGTGTGAACTGCGAAAGGCCCAGCAGGGCAACCTCATGGGTGCACCCCTGTGTGAGTGGACCACAGCTAACTCGGAAGCTGCCTGCGGACTTTAACTATTTTCTCTTTCCTGCAGATGATGTGACTCTGCGGCACTGCTACCCCAATTGTGACTTCCAGTGCGTGAATGGGTATCAGCCCGCCTGCGGGGTGAGTGCGAACACTGGGGAGCGCCGCACCTTTCGGAATCGGTGTGAAATGGCGCGCACTTCGTGCTTGTCGCAGTCCGACTGGGCGGTGTACAGGTGGGGCGTGTGTCCCAAGGCCAGCAGGCAGACTCTGACCCAGCATACATCGCCATACGGGGGCAAGAACAAGCGGCCGGAGCCGGTGCCGGTGCCAGTGCCAGTGCCAGTGCCCTGCACCGGGATCTATCGTCCGGTGTGCGCCGTATATGCGGGCGTAAAGTCTACATTTTCGAATGAGTGCTTGGTAAACGCAGAGAACATTAAGACACAGAGAAGTAGGTGGCCCGGTGTGCTGTGTGCCAGTTTCCGACTTGACTCACTTATGCCTTTATGTCCGACAGATTGGCGCATAGTTTCCGAGGGACTTTGTGGCGAGGACAGCACCAAAATGAAGCACAGTCGCCAATATAAGCCACGGGCCAAGCCAAAACTGGATGCGGATCGGACCAAGCGCAGTCCCAGTAAGCAGTCCAATCAGGTGGAAGACTTCCAGATACCCGAGGACGCAGTGCAAATCTATGCCCCCTCCACATTCCACACCCAGTTCATCAGCAACACAGGCACCATGGAGAAGAGCTACTCCCTACCGGCTCGCAGGCCCTATGTGGTGCCCGCGCCGAAACTCAGGCGAGTCTATGGCAGGGCCACCACCACCCCCAAAGGCATGGCTACCAAAGGCCCCATGAAGCTGGCCTCCTGCGTGTTTGGCAACGAGCCTGTGTGTGGCAGCTTCAACGGAGAGAGACGCACATTCCCGAATGTGTGTGCTCTCATGGAGCACAGCCAAAGCATCGGCAACGGTAAGGCACTAACATGGGGATATTTGGCAGGACTTTACTGATTTCACGATCCACAGCATGGACCATTTTACACGACGGCTCCTGCCGGCACTGCGACAAGCCCTGCCCTTCGGTCTTTCAGCCTGTGTGTGCCAGTCGCAATGGTGTACAGCACACAGTCATCAATGAGTGCTATCTGGAGCGAGTGCGTTGCAAGGATCCCAGCATTGGTGGGTGCCCCGTCTTTAACTCTAGACCATAGACATAAGAGTAATGTGATTTTCTTGTAGTCTGGCAGATCATCCACAAAGGCGAGTGTGTAAAGGCCAGGGGAACGATAAAGCCCAAGGTGCCTGCCACAGAACGCCGTCAGCAATCTGCTCTGATTCCCCGTATGCTGTATGCCACCACCACGGGAAAACCACTGACCAATCCCCCCACTACCAAGGCTCCAATTAACCCATACAAGCCGCGCAAGCAGTTCAGGAAATCATTTAGACCAACGCCAGCATCCGAGGAGTTCAACAATCGCAAGATACGCAAAATAGAGATGCCAGCCAGTGCTGTCGCTCGATCCATTGAAGAGGAGTCCACTTCCAGGCATTGGTCTTTGAACGACAATTGGCTGGTGCGCAAGACTCTCGATAATGTCAAGGGTTACTTCAGCAAAAAGCCATCGACCTTCAAAAAGGCGCACAGCGAAAAGTATCCGCAATATAAATGGGTTAGGCCGCTGGCAGCCTTGCCCCAAACAGAGCCACTTGAGGCGTCGACCACCAGCACAAGCACAGCTGCGCCGATGCCACATATGCTGAGCATTGCCTCGACGGAACTATTAAATTTGGATCTTGGCAACGCTACAAACGTCTACGAAGATGAAGATCTACAATTACGACTGATGCTGACCACCGCTGCCGCCACAACCAGCACCACATCGACGCCAGAACCCATTGAGACCACGACAGCACCGCCCCTGACTTCCGCCTCTGCCGCCACGAATCCTCCTTCCACAACAGATGCACCTGCAAGCATGTCCACCTCTTCAGAGGCATGGGAAGAAGCGGCCAGCGAAGAGACTACCGCAATCATGGAGGAGACTTCTGCTACTACTGCTGCCTCCATTAGCTCCGTCAGCACAGATGCAGCCACATCCTCAGCCACAATAGCTGAAGATCTGTCCAGCACAGAGGCTGGAAGCAGCGAGTCGTCTTCAACGGAAGCCTCAAGTGAGTTGTCAACGACCACCCAGAGCAGTGATTACACAGCGGAGGAGCCGCTAGCCGAATCAAGTGGGCAAACCTCCATCTACGGTCTCGATAAGAACTCGTTGATAATGCGCTTGTTACGAGCCAGAACAAATCAAAATGTTTTCATTTAAAAATTTCGCCTTAAGTTAAGTTGTTTTTAAGTCTGTTAAATAAAATCTTAAAATACCATAATACATTTAATACTATTTTCGAATGGTGATTTGGGGTTCTGCCTCTTTGGTCTCAAAGTGCATTCATTGACAATTACAAGCAATCAAAACAACAAAGAACAAACAACAAAAACGAGAAGGAACGTGTAGTCGCTTCTGGGGACGCGACTCTACTTTTATACCCGTACTCAGTCAGTAAATAAATTTTTGAGCTTATGATTTATGTAGAATTTAAACAAGTTTTACATTTTACTTTTTGTTGCTACATCTGCTATATACATCTATATATAAAATGTATATTATACTTCTAACATGTAAATTCTACATGTACGTCTGTGTGATATCTCATGAGTCTGGAAACAACATTTGGTTGCTGTAGCTCTTATAGTCTCTGAGATCTCGGCGCTCATCAAGACGGACAAACGGACTATATGACTATATCGACTCGGCTATTGATGCTGATATATACTTTATGGGGTCGGAACCGTTTCCTTCTCTGCGTTGCACACATCCACTTTTACCACAAATACAATATACCCCTTAACTCTTTTTGAGTACGGGTATAAAAAATGACACGAATAATTTCACCAATATAGTTTCAATATAATATACCCTCCCGCCCCAGCTACAACACCCACCTGTCGATGTATTTGAATCAAAATTAAATAACAAGTTTTAATATCAAGCTCAGCTTTCACAGTTTCATATCAGACAGCCTTTAAGGTTGCACATCAGCACATAGATGGCGACAACAACTTTCGTTAGCGCACCTATTGGTGAGAAAACTTTTTTTGTAACTTAGCTAAATCGACTGTTAGCGGCGCCACTCGATTTTGTAGTCCTTCCTTTTACCACTAGATGGCGCTTTGACTGAAGCCCAAGTTTCATGGCCGTTAACTTTTGTCAGAGTGAAAACCCAAATTTTCGATATAACGTCACATATTAATCGGTATTCGAAATAGTCCGGTATCCGATTTAAGTATTCTGGCATGAAAATATGTATAAAATATAAATAGTAAGTGGTGTGTGGGTCATGGGGGAAGTTATTATAAATATACACATAAAAAGAACTGAGCTTAAATACAATAATCTGAAACATTTCATCGCTGACATTGCATTACGTGTGACAAGCCAGAAAATAACTGTCTTGCTTTGCTATGCGCTTTGGTCAATGTACATGTAGTATATGCACTACTTATTTTAGATCCCATTTCCTATATGAATGTTGTCTTCGTAATGTCTTTTCATAGATGTTTAAAATGGATTTATTGAGTGGTTAGATGCGACTATAAGGCACCATTGCCAATAAGCGGAAAATGATATGCGCGTATTATCAAGGCGTGTCGTTGTTGTGCGGAAACGAGTATTGGTTGTGGATTTTATCACTCCATTGAAATTAATCGAATCCCCTGGTGAGCGCGACAATTGGGTGAAACGGAGATGATGACTTCCCATTGACAGCTGACAGGATGGACAATGTCGCCAGAGTCAGAGCAAGAGCCTGTGAAACGCACAATCACGAACATCCCATCAGATGCATCCTGTCAGAGAGTTTTAACATCGAAAGTGAAATGCAAAAGTAATATATCACACATTTTTCCAGAGTTGTCCTTAGCTCTGAAGTGCATTTTATGCATTAAAAAACACTTAGACGCCTGCAGCTGGACACAAATTTCGCTATCGCTATCAAGCGGCCAGTGAAGGCAAGGCCGTAAGAGAGTTTTTATGACCCAGGTCTGTCTGGTAGTCAACAATCGTTAACCAGTGGAGACATGACAGTATTTATCCCATCCGGCCGTCTGCTGCATCAGCCCAACAGATCAGAGCGGAGACTCCGTCCTCTCTAGTTCAATTTGTTTAATTGCGTAGTCAAAGTCGTTGGCGGTTCATCTGGCATGGTAGCTAATCTCCAGTAAAAGTAGTTTTGGGCGGACTCTGCTGCAGATCCGAAATCCTCTAAATAGCCGCACGTTTGCGTGTGCTTCGTGTTTTAATATGTGGCCATCAAATGGGGGGTGATGGTTGCGGGGCGGACCATCATTGTTGGCCATGTTGTGGTCAAATATTTTGCTGCTCACCTAAAGATAATATTTAGAGCAATTTCCGATCGAGGAAAATCAAAACTTTCTACAGACAGCTACAGATGCTACAGCATCTGGTTCGATTGGATTACCTAATGCTCATTAGGTGCGAGTGCAGACAACAGGTGACAGGTGGCAGAGCTAATCAATTGAATGGCCAGAGATGTCAGTCAACGTTGCCCAAGAATGCCAAGCGTTGTCGATGTGCCACGGGGACAAAAAAAGAGTCGACAAACAGCGCCAATTGTTACTTTCACTAGTAAATAATGCAACAGCGCACAAAGAGAGCAACTGCAGAAGAAATATCATCAGTAGCAGTGGCAGCAGCAGTGGCATATGCAGAAATACCAACAACGACTTTCGCATCCAACGTGGCTGTGGCTTTGTAATTAAGATGGTCAGAGCACTCGCACTCGAACTCGAACACAGTCACATGCTCCTACAAATACAATTTAATAACGGGCAACGATTCCAAGTGCAGTGTTCCGTTCAAATATGCAAATTGCACGATGCAACCGGAGAATGCACCCGCCAGTACCCCACAAAAGGCGCCAGCGTTGTTTAATCTCACATAAACGCGCATTCGCACTTATTCCGATTGGTATCATTTACAAGCCTGCAGCTTGGATGGCTCTGATTTGGTTTGGATCGCTCAGAGTCTTGAGCGGCGCCAGGCGATTTTAATTGTACGAGCAGCATTGGAGCCATCAGCCATCAGCGATCAGATACATATACATACGTTTCTCGGAGCGGCAGCTACTCGTCGATTCACTTTCGTTTGCAGCTCTTGCTTTCAGTCACACGCAGCGGGAAGGCAGTCGGTCAATTGGTGGTTGCCTGGCTGCTGACTATCTATGTAGCTGCTGCTGCTGCTGGCTTCATAATCCAGACGACAATGCGATCGATCCAATTTGCTGTTCGATCGCGGATCGACACACAACATGCCCCGCGCTCGGAGACTCTGCCACAGACTCTGACCCAGAAAGCCTGGTGGCATTGGCATTGGCGCTGGCATTGGCGGCAGGAATTGCGATTCCGGTGCATGCTGCATGCTGCCTGCTGCCTACACATGAGCATTAGACGAGGAGCCGAGCTTGCAACTTGCCAAGCAGCTATCTTCGTTCAGTGGCTCGGTTTGCGGCTGCCTCGCTGTGATAAAAGGAGTAGCCAGCGCCTTCTGGCTGCTATTTGTGTCTTGTCCAGTCAGCCGTGCGGTGCTCCAACTATCTCAGACTCTCAGACTCTCAGTCTCTCAGTCTCGTGTTCAAATCGGCAACAAAATGCTACTCTGTCGCATCGTGCTGGCATTAATGCTACTCCTACTGCTCCACTACGGCAGCGCAGAGGAGCAGAAGGCCACAGATGCACCGTCAACGCCCGCCATCGCACGATCCACTGGCCGAGCGGGCCCATCGCTGCTGACGCATAGCGATGCCTACATAGCGCGCAACCAGCGGCAGTGCTTCGACACTCGCAATCTGATGTCCTGCATTAAGTACAAGGCCTCGAAGCTGATCTGGAAACTGGCCACCAACGGCATGGGCTTCTTCCCCAACGAATATGGACGCGACTTGGCCGCGGATAAGCATCGTCTCCTGCGGCTGGTCCAGTTGGGGGAGCCGGCCAACGATATTGTGGTGTTCAACGACGCCAAGAGCTTGGAAGGTGGGTCCGTTGTCCGTTGTCCGTGTTCGGTGGCCTATTGCCCGAAACGAAAGTTGTTTTCCCCGGTCAGTTGGCAAAAGGAAATTAACGTTTAAGCCGCGACATTCAAATGACCGAAAAACGAGTATATGTGTATCTGTGGTGTGGTGCGGTGCAGTTTAATTTATCACCTTTTGCTTAGACAGCATCCACTTCCAGTGGCAGCAGCATCCACAGCAGCCGCTGATGCTGCGGCCCCGTGGTCGATTATCCGTTGCGGATGTTTATTGCGAGTGTTAATTAATTTCTGGAATTTATTGCTGGGCGTTTCTTGGTGCGCTTCCATCGCCCCAGAGGGTGAGAGGGTGCAAACAATAAACAATTGATAAGCATTTTTCACTCGGCTAATTACGCACTTCTCCCCACCATCCGGCAGGTGACAGCGAGCTGACGCTCATCTTTAAGTTCCTCAAGCGGGCGGTGGAGACCTTCGGGCGCAACCACGGCCTCCAGTTGGCGCTATCCAGCGAGTCAGGGGCCCGCGTCATGGACGAGTCGGGTAGGTGAACATTAATCTCTCTCCGGCTCCGGATATCAAGTTCCTTTCGCCCTACCCCCACCCATCCAGAGGCACGTCTGAAGCGCAAGAAGAAGAAGTGGCTCATCATCCTGCCACTGGTCATACTGATGAAAATCGCTCACCTGAAAATGACTCTGGTGTCCATGCTATTGACTATAATCGGCATGAACGTGCTGCTGGTCGGCGGCGTGGGCTGGCTGATTCATTATCTGAAGTACAAGACCATGTGCAAGATCCATCCCCACCTGGTGCAGACGCACTCGCATGTCTACGACTCAGAGCCGTCGGACTACTCGCAGTTTGTGGGCAGCAGCAACTCCTACAACCCCTACAGCTCCGGGGCTGGCAATCCGCATGACATTTCTGGCATCAACTATAGCAAGGACTGGGCCACGAATAAGGCCTACAATGGCTACAACTACCTGGACACAATTAGCAAGCGGCTGCAGTAGAGTGCAGTGGATTCGAGCCAGAACCAGGAATGTGTGCGCCTAGTAAAATTTTCATCCTCCATGTCCGTCGTCGTCGTCGTCTTTGATGTTGATGTTGTTTAGCATATAATTTAATTAGGTAATTTATTTTAATTTAATAAATATATTTATGTAGTTTTTTTTTACTTTGCAAGCAAATCTAATTCAGCATTAATCCATTTGAAGAATAAAAATTCGATTGATGGATCTGGGAATCGATGTTTCCCCAGAATTTTGCCATTGCTTCACCCACTTAAACGTTCTCCACATAATTCTGCGAGTGTTTTCTACAAAGCAAACAGCCTCTCATATAAGCATAAAACAATTTGTTTATGGGCAAAGCAAACAAACGGCCCCCCGCCTCACGCCTCACGCCAGACACAGCTGGCCCAAGTCCAAAACGTGTGAGAGACGTTCCGCTCGCGTGGGTATTGGCCTCTTATCAGTTATCAGCCATTGCTTTCGTTAAACAAACAATCCAAATACGGATTTGCCTTCCTGGAAACAATTCCAATTCCGCCAAATTTTTTAACTTAATTGAGCAAATAGGATTTAGGCATGGTCTGCCAGCAAATATGGGCATGAAATTCAACAGTAATGAATTATTACAGATAGCCAGGATGGCCTTCATGACTCAATAACATACATAGTGGCAGTTGTTGGTTGCTTTATTATCAGGAGAAAGTGAAAGTAGTTTTGTATAGATGAAACAACAAACTGCTTGCTAAGTCAGTGGGGGGGAGCCAATAAAAAAGTCTTCCTGTGGCAGAAAAATAATGACACATAGATAAGTGGAACCAGCATCTCTTGTGTCCCATTCAAATTGTTTATCTCTGCTCTGTAAACTTTAGTATTTAAGCATAGGGTGCAGAGGATACAGCCTAAGCAATTACCACATCATTCCATACAAAACGCGTTCACAGAATTGTTATTATGCATAACCCAGAAGGAATTGAAGGAATTTCGGATTGAGAGCTGTTAAATGCTGTTAAATATGTATAGATTTTGTCACTCAACTATTAGGCAGTGACCGACCGCCTACCAGCATGGGTAGAGTCAACAAAGATTCGGATTCAGTTGTAATTTGCGTCTCCTCGTCAACGCCTTCTTACTGGAACAGCTGGCACTAACCAAATATATGCAGGCGGCTCTTCTGTTCAATGTTTACTGGCTTCTTATCAGAGGCGTGCTTTTGTGTACCAAACAATTTGTTTCGGGCTCCCAAGAAACGGCTCTGCCCTGACTGTTTATCCACCGAACTACGCACAACGCTCATAATCAATAAGTCCACATACGAGCACATCGAATGTAGGCATGTGTGTGCACTGGCTAATGCCAAATAAGTCCAGTGAATTCCAGCTAACTGGCTGCTCTGTGTTGCCTACACATGTAAATGATTTAATGGTGAAACTGTCTCATCGCCCGCCCGCCCGCCACACACAACTCATCTGTTTGCTCTCGTTTATGAAAGCATGCAGCGAAACCAAACAAATGGCTGCACTGCAATATACTTCCACCCAATAACCACAAATGATAAGCTCGGACAAGAGAGCAGCCATTGACAGTCTCCGAATTTATTAACTTTGTAGATAAACAGGCTATAGGTCGAGACCAGGATGCCAGTGCACGTGGCAGTAACACTTTGACATTTGATATGGTAAAATATATTGTTAAATTCAATTAAATTAAGAGAGCGAGACTTTAAGCTGAAGCAGTTGAATTTAATTAAATTATCCCTTTTTGATCTGTTTAAATAGAAGATAAATGGGAGGCGATGGTGTCGCCTAAATCCACCGAGGTTCATTCCCTATATGGAAACAATGGGCAATAATAGGATGATAATAATAATACCTACTATAAAACGCTATCTGGACGACTAAAAGCTGTAAAAAGCTGCCTGCCTGAGAACAATAATAAAGTACGTCTAGAGCAGAACCTAGGGTGTGCGTCTACGAATTATGAAAGTCCATTAAATATATAAATTATACAGGCACACATTTGTTTGAAGCGCACGCTACCGTAGAGTTCTTACTGAGCCCAGTATGCACCTGTGATTTACTCTGAGTAGACGTCTGTTTTTGCGCTACGAGTCTGCCAAAATGCTCCCCTCTTGGCTGAACGCGGAGTTTATTCAGACCAAGTTGAGAGCCTACTGTAAGGATGATCAGTTGCGAGTCCTGAAGCTGTGGGGCAAGCCAGCAACTGGCAAGGGGGAGAACTTTATTGGCATTATGACTCGCATATGCGTAGACTACGAAGACGGAAGTGGAACGCTGCAGAATAAATCATACATCCTCAAGCAAACCTGCCCCGCAGAAGCTCCGCAAGCAAGAATATTTTTTGAATACGATGTATACACCCGGGAAATGGACATGTATGAGTTTGTGCTGCCCAAGATGGCAGAGCTGCTCCGAGAGATTGGAATCACCGAGAAGCTAACCGCAGACTGTGTGGCTGTGGACCGGCAGCACTCCATCTTGATTCTCGAGGATTTGGCGCCTCTCAAGTATGTCAATGCTGACCGATTGAAGCAATTGGACATGGCTCACGCCAAGTTGGTGCTGGAATTACAGGCAAAGCTCCACGCCGCAGCTGTGATACTCAATGAGCGCCATCCGGAGCTCCTGGCGAAGAATTTCTCATCGCATTTCTTCTGCCGGGAGAAGAACGGATATGCAGAGATCTTTACCAGTTTGTTTAAGTCTTTCATGAGGTATGTCAAGACCAAACCCAGCCTTAATAATCGCTATGGTGCCAAGTTGGAGGTGGTCCTTTCCCATTTAATGGAGTATGCAGCTCGAACTGTCGATGTTGACGCGAAGGACTTCCAGACGCTGATTCATGGCGACTGTTGGACCAACAATATCATGTTCCAATACGATGATAGGGGCACTCCGATAAATGTCGTGTTAATAGACTTTCAGTTCTGCACTTGGACGTCGCCAGCCGGCGACCTACATTACTTCTGCAGCTCATCCCTGAGGGAAGATGCAAGAGAAAAGGAAACCGAGCTCGTGCAGTATCATTATTATGCCATGAAAAAGACATTGGCAAAGTTTTCCCATAAATGTGTGCTGCCAAGTCTGCTCGAGTATCAGCTTCAGTTTGAGCGCCGCCGATTCATGAGTGAGTCAAGTGTCATCTACAACCGTACGAATTTTCTATCATTTTTCTTTTCATAGGTTTTATTATTGCAAATACATTACAACCCCTAATGCTGTACGAGGGCACGGAGGAACCAGATTTTTATTATCTTTATCAGGATACGCCGAAAGCGATGCGTTTCCGGGATTCGATGTATGCCTCTGAAAAGGTCCAGAGAATAGTGGAAAAGATATTACCCATGGCAGATGCCAAGGGCCTATTGGATCCTCAGTAGAAAATTCATGTTTAATCTTAGCAAATAAACAGTAAACAATAAAAGTGCAGTTGGAATAGAAAGCTAAAAAATTTGCTTAAACTTCTTTAACTTGTGGGAAATCTAGGAGTGTCAACAAGAGAAGAAGAGACAGGCTTTTCGTTGGTTCGCCTCATAGCTCGGAGGACTCCAAAAAGACAACTGCACAAAGGCAAGGATCAAAGCAGGATTAATTATTGTAAGGGGATGCGCCTGCGTATAAGAAAAAGCCACATAAATATAATCTATAATATCGCGTATCCTTGACTCTTGTGTCCGTATTTTTTCCACAAGGAGCGTGGGCGGACAGATGTCTATGAATCGTCTGCTGAGGCGCACTAAAACATCCTATCTACTAAAATATAATGTACACTTATATGGTACAAGCATCTAAGATAATAAGCTGCAAGTGTGCCTGGCTATGACACCATGACAAAGGAAATCTAAACCCAGCAAAAGTAACTTGGAATTATGTATTCTGCTAAGTCACGATGACGTCGTGTGGTTTAATTATTTTACTCCCAAGCGAATAAAATATATTATTAATGAACAAGTGAGTAGAAGATTGTCCCTCTATCGTACTAATGACCCGCGAGCGAATTTACAAGATGTATTTAAGATATTGCCCTGGGACAAGAGAGACACGCCAAGCCATTTAGTCTGCTTATCTGAAGTAGTATATATTTTAGGCTGATAAGAGCCGTGTTTCGTCTTCATATAAACTTTCGCCCAGAGGCTGAGAAGTCAGATTTGTCTGAGAATTCGACGCTGAAGCAACATTCAGAATGCTGCCCACTTGGTTAACAAAGGAGTACATCCAAACCCATCTGAGAGCCTACTGCAAGGATGATCAGCTGCGAGTCCTTAAGCTGTGGGCCAAGCCGGCAACGGAAAAGGGGGGCAACTATGTCGGCGTAATGACCCGCATTTACGTAGACTACGAAGATGGGAATGGAACGGTGCAGAACAAATCATATATCCTGAAGCAAACCTGCCCAGAGGACGCTACCCAAGCGAAACTTTTCCAGGAGTACGATGTGTACAATCGGGAGATGGACATGTATGAGCTGGTGATGCCCAAGATGGCGGAGCTGCTCCGAGAGATCGGAATCACCGAGAAGCTAACCGCAGATGCAGTAGTTGTTGATAGGGAGCGGACCATCCTGATTCTCGAGGATCTGGCCACTCTCAGATACGTGAATGCGGATCGAGTTAAGCAATTGGATTTGGCTCATACCAAAATGACGATAGAGTTGCTCGCAAGGTTCCATGCGGCAGCTTTAGTCCTGAATCAACGATATCCTGAGGTCCTGCGCACAAATTACTCATCGCACTTTTTCTCACGTGGCAAGAAAGGCTACAAGGAGATTTTTACGGGCTTGTTCAGGGCTTTTATTAGGTATGTGAACACCCAACCAAGCCTCAGAGATCGCTACAGCGCCAAGCTGGAGCACGTTGCTGCCAATGTAATGGAGTACGCGGCTCGATCTGTGGATGTTGGAGAAAAGGACCTCCAGACACTGATCCATGGCGACTGTTGGACCACGAACGTCATGTACCAGTACGATGACCGAGGAAATCCCGTTACGGTTTTACCCATAGACTTTCAGTTCAGCACTTGGACATCGCCGGTGGTCGATTTGCATTACCTGTTCAGCACCTCGCTGAGAGAAGACGTAAAGGAGAAGGAAACCGAACTCGTTCAGCACCATTACTATGCACTGAAGCAGAACTTGGATAAGTTTTCCTACAAGGGTGTATTTCCCAGCTTGCTCGAGTATCAGCTTCAGTTCGAGAGCCGCCGATTCATGAGTAAGTGGAGAGACATCCCCCAACAAAAAAATATGGTCTAAGAGTTTTTCCTTTTACAGCCGTTTTAATTGCCAATTTATTTCAACCCATAATGGTATACGAGGGCACAGAGGAGCCCGAGTTCGTGAACCTTTATCAGAATACTCCAGAGGGCGTTCGATTCCAGGACTCAATGTATGCCTGTGAAAAAGCCAAAAGAATTGTGGAACATATTCTACCAGTTCTGGATGCCAAGGGCCTCTTAGATCCTCAATGAATTTAGCCTGATTATTTTTAATTATATTGTACAAAAAAAATTATAAGCGTGGCAAATGTCAGCTCGTGAAAAGATTGTTTGAGGCCCGGGGATTTACAGTTTGCAATTAAGATAAGTGGCACGACCAGATCTCGCTTGTTTGCTCGTGGGAACATCGTGTTGCTTGAGAGTATTCGTGGGTAATTGTCAAGAGATTTTGTAGAGTTAGAGTCTGGCAGTCACCATTTAAGTCTTTTATTGTGCTGACTGATAGCCTAATTACTCCAGATACCCACAGCTGGAGCAGACAAATGGAAGCTCTCACCAAATAAACGTTTTAAATAGTCCTCAGCACAGTGTGCGAAGCTTTTACGGATTGCTTCAACCCCTAACATCAGTGATAAGAAAGCTCTGCGCAGCTGTTGGGCCAAAACAAACCCGAAAGCGATGCCCAGTCGCCTGTTGACGGCCAACAACTGAGCGCGTCACGTTCAGTTCTGACTTGTGTCTTACGCGGCGTATACGCAACGAGCGGCATCGGCATCGGCAACGGACATCGCAACGGCAACGGTTTAGAGGCAAGGCTATATAAGCAAGGGATGCGCCCCGAAAGCCAACAGATGGTCGCTGACTGTGCACGCGTGTGGTTATCGGAGATCAGTAAACACCCAAACTAAACGCTGAATATTATTGTAATAAAAATTGTGCACACAAAAAAAAAAAGAACGAAAGGGGGAAAAAACGAAATTAGGAAAATGCTGCCGCATATTTATTCAACATTTTAATGCGGCAAGCCAGAACGCCGCCCAAAATTCGTTGGATCGACAAAAATTTGTCTGCAGGTACATATGCTCTCAGCGACGTGTGGAAAAAGTTTTGTGTTTGCTTTTCCAACGATCCAACGAGGTGCCGCCATTAAACTGTTGAAGGCGTGAAAATTCCGCAGAAGCAGAGCGCCGTGAGCGCTACGTCGTAAACGCAGACGTAAACGTAAACGCAAATGTTTGCCAAAGTGGGCCGCGGAAATTCGCTAATAACCCGCCGGACGCTGCGTCGTTGTGTCTCTCTTTATTATGATTATTTTCTGAAGGCGCTTCGATGAATCCTAAATGCAACTCGCGGAGCTCGCCCCGTGGGCGGATGCTGTGGCTTCGAATCAAAGTAATCGAATGAAAATATTAGTGCGTAGTGGGTCCCTCGCGGGACCGTTATACTCTGTGGCTGTAATGCGATGTGACGTGTGCGGGGGTTGGGTGCGAAAATCATATTTTTACGAAAACTACGCCTCCGAGTGGCTCAGAATAGTCGGGCAGTGAATGTGCGCAGGATGTTGTGGGTCATTCGAACGAATCGAATGGAAAATCAGTGTCTGGCATGCAACACGGGAGAAGAACGAGCGCCACAAAGTCGGCGAATTATTGAAGGATGTGGATGTGGATGTAGATGTGTCTGGATGGTGCACTCAGATATAAACCGAAAGCAATTTGCTTAATGGCCGTATTAATGGATTCCGAATAATGAAACACAATCGATATTCGCTTAATGGACTTTCGTGGATGATTAAAAATATTAAAGACAATATGGAGACAGTTGTTAATAAAATGATTAAGTGGATTATAAACGAGCAGCTGCACCTGCCTTCACAACAGCAGACATATTCATTAAAGCTTCACCTACAGAGAGCTTAAGTTCTTATTTCAATTGCGTATTTCTTCTGGCTTGCTTCAGTTCGTATTAAATATTAATGCTACCAGAGGTGCTACCACCTCATATTCATATTCATATTCATTAGACTTCTGAGGCTAAGCTTCTTAGGCCGTCGACTCATCAAAACTTCCTAGAGCTATGTGCCTTTGGTTGCTCAGTTGTGCATAAGTTCAGTTTCTTTCCCAGCTGTGGAGCAGGGAACAACTGCGCCTGAGCAATGCAATCAGGGACAAGAGACCGAGCTGCATCCAGTTGTGCCGAAAGTTATGCATACCAATACATGCAAATGTGCAGCTCGCCACCCCCTCCCAGCACGAAATTATCTGCTCAAAGATGCCCCAAAGAACAACAATTTTGCAGAAACTTCTGCGGGGCATGGCCTGTGTTTGCCATAAATTCTTCAAGCGTCGAGGATTAAGTTGTGCTGCGAGCGCAGCAAGTTTGTCCCGGAAGAATTTTTGAAGCATTTTAATTAAGTTTATTTGGGCTCCAGAGCCATCCAACATGTCAGGCCTCAACTGAATGGATGGCAAATGCATACACATGGCTGAGGGGGTACATCATTAAATTTCTGGGGCGTGGGACACTTGAGCCACCCACTTATATGCTTAAAAATTCAACAATACCCTGGACACTGTTCGCAACCGTGTACATTAGCAGAATTTGTATCATTCTCTCTCTTCCATTCGAGCAGAGCATATAAAGCAGGAAAATTCCCGCGAGTGCATTTCGAAATTGCAGACTAAATGAATAAATGCTGCCGTCGCAGCCATAAGGACAAACAAAAATTCACTCGTGTCACTACCAGATCCAAACGGAAAACAGGAGACAGCCAGAAGAATACGCCCGGGGCAGTGGGAGCGTTGCCGGGAAGATGGTGAGTGTAATTGCAATATAAATACTTAAAGCGCCTCGTCGGCTCAAGAAGCCATTTCAGAGTAGATGTCAAATGGAACGAAATTACTTTGTTCCCAAAACGAAAAAGTTTTCTCGGGTGTGGCTTGACTTGGCTTGGCCGTGCGTTTTTGTGTGTTTTTATTCCTGGAACGCACACAATCTGTCTGACTTAGCCATATGGCTGCCGAGGGCTCATTCCATTTGGCATTTATATTGTGTTCTTATAGTCCTGTGGCTAAAGTAGGTGAATTCTGGTTGAGTTGATGGCAGTTCAGTTCCTTTGGAACATTTTGCTAACGGAGCTAAAAGTTTAATACAAAATTTGAAAATAATGTTTGTTTTCCTGCTGGAATAAGCCAGCAATTTGATATTTTGAAACAAGGCTAAAAAGATTGTAGTGAGAATATTCAAATTCCAATCAAAATTATTTTATACCATAAATTAATATTGCGTTGACAGTATTTTCTTCAGAAATAGCAAACCAGATTCAACTTAATGTACAAATGTTTTGCTCCTTTAAGACAAGTGAAACTTAAGCACTCTGTGGCATATCTTTGACACCGAAGATGTGTTAAGCCGTATAAATTCCTTCTATGACCAAAGAACGAAGGAAAACAGAAGAAAATCCAAGCTTAGTCTACGAGTATGTGCAAGAAGCTTGGTTGATTAATTCGCAGGGGAAGCCAGCTTTCTCACTCGGACAGATGTTACAGCATACGCAGATCTCTTGATGCGTATCCGATGCTTGTGTGTTTAAATTGGAGTTGACCAGAAAAACAGATGAGGCCAGTAGTCCGGGAGAAGCTCTCTCCCCTTGGATTTCCATCCTAAATCGAAAACAATTAATTAAATAAATGTTCTGGGTGCCGAAGACAAGGGAAAAGGGCGTAGAGGAGGACTCTCAATAACAAATTGAGAAATTCGTCAGTCGACAGGGGCAATATGTTTTTGTGGCAAGCAAATTGCACAAACGGCAATAAAATTCGTCTTGTTATAGAAATATCATTGGAAAGGCAGCTCCGCCCACAAAACAAAGAACATCAGCACAAATAAATCACAAAAATAGCTGAGTCAAAATTCCGACAGGCAGCTGCCCCTGGCCCGGCAGCTGTAGGGATCCGATTCGAGATGGTTGGGAATATTGGGTTGGCATTTAAAATCTTTGTCACGCTCTGTTTATCCAATGATGCGAGAGTAACGGGGAGATGAGGGTCCTCCAGCCAGGAGAAGGAACGTGCCGAAAGCGTTGACATTCCAGAAATTATACAAAATTTGTGACAACTGCCAAGGACTTGAGGCTGCTTTACATAATTCTCCTGTAGCCAGCTTTTCCGGGAGGGTGCTTCGCGCAGCTCCTTTGAATTTGCTGCACATCTCATCTAGTGGGTCGGTGCCTATTGCTCGGGGGAAAATACATGAGAATTCAATTTTCACCTCGCCAAAACCAGCCGCCAGCCGATTCGTAGAAATGCTGTTGGTCCGTTCTATGATTGAAACTTCTGCGACAAATTGATGATCAGCCTTTTGGGTCGGGCTGCCTACGCAACCATTTCTTCATTGCGAGATTAAACTTTTTTATTAGCTCCAACCAGCTCCGCCCAGAAGTGGGGGCGGAAGAACCTTAACTGCTTTCGAATGGATACAGTCAAGCATGTTGATGGACTGGCGAGTGTGCGGTCAGCAGACTCATCACTTAGGGGCGGACTAACTTTCGAATGTTTGGGTTTGCTGCCCAAAGTTTCCGGCCGTGCAAATATTTGCCAATTAAATTTTAAAACAACTTTAAATTAAATTTCCATGGGAACGTTGTCTTCAGCATCTCCCCTAAATAAATCCGCTCGCACACACACACGCTCTGTTTATCCGTCTCACTCAATTCTCAATGAATGGAGTTTATCGCTCTCGATTGAAAAAAAGGGGAGGATGAGGAGGAGGCAGAAGCAGCCGATTGGAGAGATTTATTAGCGTCTCATTTATCGCAGCTGTCAATGGTAATGCATACCTTTAGGCGCCCCAAGAATTCTGTTTCGTGCCACCTTCGTCGCGTGCCGTTGCCCTTTATCGATACTGACAAGTGCGCTGCCATTTGGTGCATAAAATTACACAATTATTTTTAGCAAATGTCGTCATTTATAAGGCGGCTGTATCTGATTGCTGTCCTTTGGAAATGGCTGACATTAGGCATTCATATTGCTTGGAAAATCTCTGGGGCGAGCGCCTTACAACTTGTTTGACTTTCTCTAATTATATGCATAAGTCTGTCACTGAAGATCTACTGCATAATGGATACAGCAGAGCAGAGCGGTGGGGGTTGGGGTGGCTTCTTTTGAAACAGAGCCAGCCAACTTAGGCATGGCAACGGAGCGCTGTTGGAGTCAAGATATTGGCCACAATGCCCATGCGAAATCAGGGAACAACGAAAGTTTCAAATTACAAAAATATTGGAAAAACTTAAAAGCAAGAACGGGGCAGCCCTTAAAAGATTTTTCGCTTTTGCCAGAAAATGTGCGAGTCAAGTGCCATGAACCATGAGCCATGGCTGTAGTCTTTGTCTGTGCTCAAGGAAGCAATGCGAAAACTAAAAGCTTTTGAACTTCCATCAATGGCTGAGATCTCAACTCAATTATATGGTCGGGGGGTGACCTTGAACATTGTTCCTTTTCGGGTCGCTGATGGAACTCTGAGGCGTCAGAGCTTCAATTCGTGTCAAATGCACATAGACCCACCCAGTGATGGCGCGTGCTGAGCCACCTACTGGCACCGAGAAAACTTTTCGTACGGTTACTGTTATTGCCTTGTATTTTTAGCCAAACTCATAAAGTTTGAGGTTGTTTGCAGCCCCCGCATAGATATGTGGCGTGTGCAGTAGGCCAACGCCATAAATCATTCGTAATGTGGCACGCAAAGCCTGCGGCTATCACCCTGTGATTGAACATTTGTTCCTAGATTAGACGTATAATGTGCCATTTTCTGCATGTACTTTTGCAGATAATCAGCATGAATCAGACGGAATCGGTGCCCCTGGCTGCTGTGGAGAAGCTAAGCGAATTCGCCAGCAGCAGCAACAGCGTCCGCTTCCTCGACGAGCACCATCCCCTTGACTATCTGAATGTGGGAGTGGTTGGAGCATCGCATGCGCTCGTCAATGCAACCAATGTCAACGCCACAGAGCTCAACGAGACGGTGAGAGGACCCCTGGACCCGGAGCTTGTCGAGCGATTCCTGAGCAATCGGGCAGTGGACAGCCCCTGGTACCACATGCTAATTAGCATGTACAGCGTCCTAATCGTATTCGGGGCTCTGGGCAATACATTGGTAGTCATTGCCGTTGTCCGCAAGCCAATTATGCGCACGGCCCGCAACCTCTTCATACTCAATCTGGCCATCTCGGGTGAGTACTTTCGCAGCATAGACAAAAAGAAAGCTCCGCCTAACTGGTGTGGAATAATTGCAGATTTGCTTTTATGCCTGGTCACCATGCCGCTGACACTTGTGGAGATACTAACCAAATACTGGCCCCTCGGATCCTGCTCCGTTCTGTGCAAAATAGTCGCCATGCTGCAGGCACTGTGCATATTCGTTTCGACAATATCCATAACGGCCATCGCCTTTGACCGATATCAGGTTAGTAGTCCTCTTTCCAGGGTCACTTCCCCACCGCTAATATTTCAAATGGGGGCCAACCGAATTGGGCGAGTCATGCCCTGTTGTTAATGCCGTAAATGGCATCAATTTGTAGCCATTAAATTGGACTGACAAGGAATAAAAATCGATACAGCTTGAGTAAATATTTGGCCATAACGAATGACTAACCGACGATAGTCAGCCGCCATAATGTGTACACATATTAATAGAGCACCAATAAAGCGGAAGACATACTCGTAACAGTTTCTGCGAAGCATTTATATTTATGTTAGCATGAATTACCTTTACCTTTCAATATATCTGTATGTTTAGCATATTTTCGGTTCTCCTTTCCCCAACTCCAACCATTCGCAGGTGATTGTGTACCCCACCAGGGACAGTTTGCAGTTTGTTGGGGCCGTCACAATACTGGCCGGAATCTGGCTGCTGGCCCTGCTGCTGGCATCGCCGATGTTCATTTACAAGGAGCTGCGGAGCGAGGACACACCACTGCTGCTGCAGCAGATTGGGCTGCAGGAGCAAATAAGGTTTTGCATCGAGGACTGGCCGAGCAGCAACGGCCGCTTCTACTACTCGATATTCTCGCTGTGCGTGCAGTATCTGGTGCCGATCCTGATCGTATCGGTGGCCTACTTCGGTATCTACAACAAGCTGAAGAACCGCATCACCGTCGTCACCGTGCAGGCCTCGTCGCAGCGCAAGGTGGAGCGCGGCAGGCGCATGAAGCGCACCAACTGCCTGCTCATAAGTATCGCCGTCATCTTCGGTGTGTCGTGGCTGCCGCTGAACTTTTTTAATCTGTACGCGGACATGCAGCGCTCGGGGTCGGGGCCGACCTCGAATATGCTCGTGATGTACGCCATTTGCCACATGATTGGCATGAGCTCGGCCTGCTCCAATCCGCTGCTCTATGGATGGCTCAATGATAACTTCCGTAAAGAATTTCAAGAACTCATATGTCGTTGCACTGAATCCACTAATGTTGCTCTTAATGGTCACACGACAGGCTGCAACGTGCAGGCGGCGGCGGCGCGACGGCGACGCAAGCATGGCGCCGACATATCCAAGGGCGAGCTGAAGCTGCTCGGCCAAAGCGGCGCCGGTGTCGGCGGGGGTGGTGCCAACGGTGGCGATGGTGATGCCACAGGTGGTGTGAGCATGGCTGCCACCGATTTCATGACCGGACATCAGGAATGCGGACTGCGGAGCGCCATGACCGAGTCGGTGGCGCTTACCGAGAATCCCATGCCTACGGAGGTCACCAAGCTGATGCCTCGGTAAAGACACACAACCAGCCCTTAACCCCCCCCCCCCAGCCCCTACCCCGATTAATCCCCAGATTAACCCCATTAGCCTTAACCCAAAGCAAAGTTCTGTCGTGCATGGACCCCACTGACCTAAGATTCTTTTCTGTGTGTGTGTGTGTGTTTGTGTGTGTGTGTGTGTGTGTGTATATATATAAAAGCCGATTGGATTTGCATGCTCCAAGGCGCCCATTCTCTGTGAGTGGCCTGGCCAATTTGGCTGCTGCTGCTCCTTTTCTGTTGTAACTTTTCGCCCTTCAAGTGCATGCCTCCGACCTCGATTCTACGTTTCTTCGTATTTTCAATTTATTTTACGAGTATTGTAGTCCCGACAAACTGCATGTGGGAGTTACTGAGTGTTGCCGGCATGCTGTGACGTTATTTGTGTTAAGTAGCATTCGAATATGACTCAACTCAGTTTATATGGACATTTACAGTTTGGAACAATACTAAATTGCATTTTGCATATGTACTTGTGCTTGTACTCCATTTCCTTCTGAATTGTGCAATCCAGGCCCCGAGGAGGAGCAGCGAGAGCCGTGAGAATCGTGTGAGTGATGCGACGACGGACGGACGGACGGACAGACGGAGGGACGGAGTTCGTTTTTAGAATTTACTACATAAATACGATATATTGTCCAGTGATCCAAAGCCAAGCTGAGTAACACTTAAGTTAAGACCCACACAACGAGTAGAAATCACAACTAAACCACACACATACATATGTACATGATAATCTATTTTTAAGTCATAATCCTAACCATCCATTTCATTGACAAAAAAAAGACTTAGTCTAGTGACTATTTTGGTTGTTCATTTTCATATCGAATTCCGAAAAGTAATTGATTGAGCCCCCAACTGAAATTCGGGTATTTGATAAGTCGATAATAAGTTCCCATTATAAAGTTCCTAAGAAACGTTGAATTCTGTTTAACCCCCATACTTTCGTTTACTCTCAGAGACCTCGATACCTTTTCGACTAAGCTAGCAATAATTACATACATAAATACATAGCTCATACATACACTAGACTACTCTTTTCTATAAATAAGTACACACACATTTCGCAATTAAAATAATAATAATTGTCATATGTACATACTATATAATAGCATTATCCGAGCAGTAACTTTAAAATACTATAAATGTCAGTTCTTACAGCTATATAAATCGATGATGATAAACTATTTCAATGTTTGCCGTCTGCTGGCATTACACTAATGCCATAATGAATTTTAATAAATGTTGTTTACAAATCCAATGCAATCGACAGACTGTTCAATAAATACGAAATGGGTGAGCCGGTGGGGAAATTGGAAGGTAAGTAAAAATGGCTTATGGAGTTTAATTTATATGGGTTTGGGGATTAAGGATAGTCGAAATAGCAGTGTGCCTCTGCCAATAAATATTTGTTTTATTTTTGTATTTTACATCATACTATATGCTAACGCTACAAGTATTAACTTATTTTTATTGCGCAGGTCAATGTTTAGTTCAATGAATAACTCGAGGAATAATTTAATGTATTTTACCCCATTTCACGGTAGGTCTGTGAGGATGTTTATGATCTGAATCCACTGAATCCACACAAGGAAAAAGGGCCGAGAATAGCTTTACCTCTTATACTCCTATGGAAACACCGCACCTACTCGTATCCATCTGTGGGACACCAACGAGCCAGTCCAGACCATACTTAACCTTTGCCGCTTTCTGTTGCCCTGCACGGCTACCACATAAAAAGCTATGACCCATAAAAAGGGCGTAAATGTAGGCGAACTGTGATTATGGTTACACAAACATGCATAGATAAATGGATTCACGGCGGAAGTTGCGTGTGGCAAGAGGGCGACCAAAGCTTTAAGGTTGCCAAAAGAGTTCCGGAAAGTCCCTTGAACAAACAAAATATCAAATAAAATGTCAAAAGACCACGGAGAATGCAACTTACTCTGTGGCTCTTTCAATCAGCGGCCGCGTGCATGCAAGTAATGCGGGTAGTACTCATTACGCTCCCATTTCATGGAGCCCACTCGCATTCACATTCCACTTTGAGTACGTACTCAGGTAAGAGAGATGGTTACAATTCAATTAGTGAAGCCTACGCAGCGGTGGACCGCACACTGGGTGAAAGGTCAGCCCATCACAGATGCCGGCTGGCCGATGTGTGACAGAAACGTGACCAGCGGCGAGTGAATTATGTGACACAACAACGCGCACGAGAAAAGTGAAAAGTTCCCACAATGTAGCTTAAAAAGATTAAACAAAATGAAATAAAATAAAATAAACTAATTAAAAATGTCTATCCATGAGGAACCAGAGATGTCGCCAACTGCTGGCGACGGGGCTGATGCGGCTGCTGCGGCTCTGGCTGTCTTCTGCCAGTCAAGTCAGTTCACTGTTTTGACGGCTTGTAACGCTCTTATGCACTTGCGGCTTGTGAAAGTGTTTACTTTACGTTTCTGTCACTCTCAGACGCTGGGGCGTGGCCACAGCTCCCTCCACAGGCTGGCTGGCTGGCTGCGGTCGTCATCGGGCGATGATTATGAAAACCCTATTCAACTTTCTTTCCAATTCCCAAGCAGATTGCGTAATGCAAACAAACCCATTCTGAATATCGATGGCAAGTGTGAATCTCTCAGTCCGATGAAGTTGCCGGCATTTGGTCATGAATTGGTAACGGAGAGTAGGGAAGAGCGCAGCGTGAGCACACAATTAGCATATTTATGAGTAAAAGTGAAATTAATGATTGGAATGAAATGCAAAGAAAAGGTTCGCAAATATTGACAACATTCAACCGATTTTGCGGCAGCCCAAAAAACAGCTGCCTCGCACAGGGCCCGGGCTAAGACTCTTGCGGAAGCGTCAATGCATACCAATTGGGGAGAACCTGCACAGCATCAGACCCAAAGAATCAGGCTTCCATTGATACTACATCCACCCATAGCGTAATATTTTCCTGGGTTCAAGGCACTCACACCGAGATATCTGTCCAACAGCCGGGACGGGACACATGTCAATTGCAAGTGACGGATGGATGTTTGAGGGCTTTCTATGCCATCGATTGGCATGCTCCCAGCCTAATTGACGCTAAATGAATTCGCTTTTAGGCACTTTCACAATAGGATGGCCAATCTTCGCAGATAATTCATGCATTGTGTTCGCATAGAAGTTGGCCCCAATAATACTTTTTAGAAAACACTGCACACTCCATTGTGGCCGTTTGGTTTGTTACATTTAGAGCGGTTATTGATTTTGCGGTCTCATAAACTGGCTTTCATTTCGTTTTGCCTTGTGCCTCTTTGCTGCGGTCAGGGGGAGTCGTTTCCGCTTGTTGGCCACAAGTCAATGGCAAAGTTTGTCACCAGAAATTAATAACAATGTGCCGCTTAGTTGGCCAATTCTAGACGACGACTTTCTCAAGCGTAAACCGGCCAAACAAAACCCGCTCCCAGGCCTCCCAGGCCGATCATCAATCAGAGTCTGTTCGGGTACACACCGCACATACAATAAATAAGTGAAAATCTGCTTACACTTCTGCACTCGTTTCGCCTGCAAAAACCAGACCAGTTTAAATAGTAATGGAAAACATCACTGCAAAGGTTTAGCAAGTGCGTCCAAATTAATATTTTATGATGTGTGCTGCATGCTGCATGCTGAATGTTGCACGCGTGCACCGTAATCCCGTAATCCCACCGACAATACCATTGACAACACGTGCGCTGCTCAAATGCTTCCAGCAACCAATATTGGTTACACACACACACACAAACACACAGCAGGAAAAAGTGGAAAGTCCTGAGAGGTGCGTTTGGAAATCTGTGGAGCATGCAGCTTTAACCGACCGCACATGGATTCAGTCAGCCATCGTATCCAGCTGAATTCAATTCAGACAAGCGACGCAAAATATTTGTAAAACATTTTGCTCGCTCCCAAAAATGCGTTGGCCAAAAAACCCAACCAGAAAACCAGAAACTAAACGATTAAAAGATTCTTGAGCGTGAGCAAAGTTTTTTCTTCATAAAAAACTATTTTTCAGCTGACCCTTTTCAAGGGAAATACATGAGCTTTCACATTTATGACCAGAGCCACTACATTGTTGGGCCCCCATTTTCATTGGCTGCGCAATATTGCAATTTGTGTAACATTTTGTAATATTAATTATTTCCATCGAGGCTGAATTGTGGGACCCGCCGCAGATTTAAACTTTAACTTTTTTTCCGCTCCACCCAGCATCTGCCATGGGCAGCGGCGACTCTGTCAGAAGTTGCAAAAGAATGTAAAATGGTTTAAAAATGAATCAAAATAAAGCAAGATGAATAAAGTTTTGTGGCAACTCATCGCCAAGTCAAGTTTTACCCCGCTTCCCAGTCTTCCCAGTTGGGGGGCCAAACAAAATCGAAAGTTCGCGGACCAAGTCACCGACTAACAAAGGTGACTAAGTAACCGCCAGCCGCTAAGCTAATATATTCCCAAAGTGTGTGACGCTCGTTGTGCGGCATGATGCAGCGTATTTCTCGCTGTTTATAATATTCCTGAACAAAATTGACAAGTAATTTCACGACGACAACACAGCACAACATTTTCATATTACATTTATTTTGCTGGCTGGAGAAGGAGTTTTCATTAGTGACTAATTTTCCATGAGCAAGAGAAAATTGTTACCCCTGCTGCTGCTGCCACTGACAGGCAACGGTAACCGGCGACTTTACTACTTTGCGTTCAGCTCCAGCCCCAGCTACAGCTCCAGCTCCAGCTCCCGCTATGGCCTCTACTTCAATGTCATGGCATGTGGCGCTCTTAAGCCGCTCTCTGCAACGCCAACCAGAAACCAGAAAGCTCAAACTGGTTGATCGCACCCGCCGTTGGCTTTCGGGCTTTCGGGCCACAAGCGGGCCGCAGTCCGATTCGTTGAGAGCTGAACGGCAGACGCAAACGCGCGAGAAAGCAAGCGAGCCAGCCCGGTCTGAGTGTTCCGTTGGACCCATTGATTAAAATAAATATCAAAATAAATAACCAATCATTGTCGTGTGCCACTACGGGGATAGTTTCAACCAGGAACCATTGTTCCAGCATCAGCGACCTGGAAGTGAAGCGCAAGCCCAAGCGCCGCCAAGTGCCTTAAAGTGAAGTGAAACGCAGTAATTGCATTGACAAAAGGAAGTGAATAAGAGTGAACGGGTTTGTTTCGTCGACGGTCAGCATTTTCACCGAGCCAAATCCAAGAGGCGACTGACTGCCGCAGTGAATGCAATTCCGATTTCGAAACGAACGAAACAAAACGAAAGTCTGGCGAAGAAAGTGCCAGATCCGAAAAAGTTCTGCGCCGATGAAATGTCCATGCAAAAATTCAATTAGGCGGCAACTCCTCACGGAATTACTGTGCGTTATACGAGAAGGTAAATTGAGTTGTAATTGATGACCCACTGTGATGGCAATCATCCATCATGGACCCGGAGAGATATGCCCAGCGCGCTTTAATTCGGTTAACAATTAATGAATTAATGAAGCTACTTTGTTTTTTTGTCGCCCAACGAGCTGGGAGAATGTTTAAACAACAAATAGAAAATTGTTGTTAACATTTCACTGTCGACACGTTGGCTGTTGTGGCTGTTGTTTGTTGCTCTTTGCAGCCATTTCTTTGTTCATCTGCGTTTTCATCTGTATCTGCAGCTGTATCTGTGTATCGTCGAAGCCGCTATTTCACACTGTGTGGGCTTGGAAAGCTGACCAGCGAACAACTCAATAAGAAAGCTCGGACGCTCTGCAATTAATTGTTAGCAGATGCGAGCTGTTATGTAAGCCACAGCTGGCCTACCCCAACTGACAAAAAGAGAATCGACCGCAACAGCTCATCTTAGCCGGCAATCGAAAAACGTCGCCTCGCCAAATGCTTACGATACTTTCTTTTTTGCCTCGATCTGGCAGCGATTCGAGTGTGTCGTGCATACCGTTGGACAGGGACAGAGCCCACAAGAAAGTCAATCAACTGCAAAATTATGAAAATGATACGGCAAGAGGGCTTCGCCCATTTATCACTGCCTTTTAACGGACTGTAGACCACATATTAATTACCGTTGAGCTGGACACTGAGCCGTGGAAATGTGGTTGCTTGGTGGTGCAGCTAAGTGAAATGATAGTCGAGTAAATCTCCCCCCGAGATGGCACTACAGACACTACACTGGAGAGTCATCTCTGTTTGCCAAGCTGCAAGTTGCAATTTGCTCCACACTCGCACACTCGCACTTTCATTTCAGTGGTGAGTGCTGCAAAATATTTTAAAATCCCGCCAGCGGGATGTGCGGAAGATGCTGGGGAAGCGGCAACTTTCTTGGCTGCCACCGGTTTGAGTGCTCTCATATCCGACAGCTGCAGATCCAGGCAGATTTCATATCCCATCTTCACATCTACAACCCCCAAGCATTTCCATATGGCGATGTTTGTTTGCTGAACTCTGACATCTCCTGCCTCTGGAGTGGGAATGGAAATTTCCGTGGGCGTGGGCGTGGCCCTTGTAAAGGGCTATGTCAAAATGTGTTTTCCGCTCACTTGAGCTTGACACTGAATTGCCTGTGAATTGAATGTAATTTGATGAACATTCTGGGGTACAGCGATTGCATCATTTGCAAACTCAAAGCAATTTAAATTTGGGTTTACAGCACAGATTTAATGACATAAATGGCTTAATGGCTTGCCGACTGCCTGCAAATGACGCAGATGAAACTTTCTAAAACAAAAGCGAAATGGCAGCGAATCGCTGATATGATACCAGGGTCTGTTGCCACTTCAACATATATTCAGACAAGTGCCAGGCACGCATGTAAATCACTTAATTTTCAGTGAGTGGCCGCTGCGGAGGGTAGCGACGACGCCCCGAAAAACAATCAGCGCCTAATGGGCCCGCGTACATTCCAGCCAAATTGGTAGCTAATTGGCGAAAACATCATTCCGTTTGACGTAACACAGAGAAATTGCATTAACGGCGCAACAAGGGATCAGTACGAATCGAAAGTCCTACTCGAAATCGATAAGAGCCATTCGAAAAACGTCTTGAGAGACCAGCAAGCCAGGCCAAGTGGCTCACGTAGGATACATTAGTTTGTATTAGACAGAGAGAGAGAGCGTAGTGGAATGGATTGGGATTATAAAGAAAGTTACTGCCCTTTCAGGATCGGAGCAAACTCTTGAGACATACAATTTTATGTTTTTGACTACATTTTTGACTTAAAGGAAACCAAAGAGGCAGATCCAAAATTATAATTAAATACATAATACAATAAATTAATTAATTCAAAACGAGACCTCTCATTCAATTTAAGATATATTCTACCCCACTTTAGCTTCTGTCTCCACTCTGTCATATTTTTTCCCGCTTTCAAGAACTTGTTATCTCCACATATTTGGCCTTATTGCAGTGCTGACCTTGCGAGTCATACATTTTCATTCATTTTAATCTTTGCTGTCCAAGCGTATCTTTGAGTGCGCCTGCACCTGTCAAGCCACATAATGTTGACCACCGCACCGATTAGACCTCCCCTCCACTGCTCTCTTTGGAGTTTATAGTTTTGCGGTCATTTCCAACTTGTTCTCGACTGCGTGTGGACTCAGGCCGCAGGGAACAGTTATGTCAGCTATGATGCAGCCACCACGGCTGGTTTATGACAGCATTTGACCGTTAGTGGACACCATTTGTCAACCAGCTACACTCTACAGTCTAAGTCGCGAGACTTCAAACTGGTTGCCCGTGCCCGTGCGTCGTCAAACTTTTGTACTTTGTCGCTGGCTTCACAGCTGGCGGTGGCAGTCGAGAGCGGTGTCGGTGTCATTGGACGAGCGTGTCGCAAATGATGATTGTCAGCTTATTAGCCTCATGAACCTTTCAACTCTTATATAAAACTAATGGATAACGAGTGTGTGTGTGTCGATGGCGACGAGACTTGGGCTCCACTTGTTCCAGACCAGACATCACTCCGCACCACATCAGATGGGCGCGGGCTGTCAGAACTCTGAAAACTTTTGCGACTTAATTGAGAAACTTCGTTTTGGATGAGCGCCGCTGCACAGAATAGACCAGAATCCAGCCCCCCCCAGAGTATAATATGGTAAAAGCCAAGCCAGAGGCAGCAACAAATCTGATTAAATGCTTCTGCTGCTACTAAAAGTTTGCCTCAACTATATCAGGGCGGAATATTAGAGCATGAAGGCAGACCGAGCACAAACTATAACTAATTCCTACTTTTTACCTGTCTAAAATCGGGCCAGGCGAGGGAGTCTAGAGCGGGGCAAAAGGGTTCGGTTCGAATATTCCCAGCGTGATGTGTGTGCATTAGAAGCTGCCTTTAAGCAGAGGCAATTTCAAGTTCTAATTGTAATTGTTGAAACTAATTTGCATAGAGCGGTATGGTATGGTATGGTATCCATGGCCCTGAAGCGAAGCACCCAAATAATTAATGCAACGAAAGCATTTGGGACTGCCCACACGGGATGGCATTAAATTCACATCAGCACACTGAATATTTTTGTAAACTATTTGGACAGCTCAAGAACAGCTGCATAACAGAATTTCCAACTAAGCAGACGAATGAGATAAAATGAAATGATAAATGATGCCCCAAAATGGCCAAGCAATGGTATTTATGTTTCCATTACTACGGAGGGTTCCTGGCTTACTGTCTGTTTATATAAGAAGCCGAGCAAAAGAAGAGCGAGATGCACTCGCTGCACAGACAAAGTGAATGGAAATGTTTGGCCACCCAGGGGCAGCAATCCGATTACAGGAAACCGAGTCCCAATTAAAACGCTGCCAGCGTTAAATCAGTCAACGGACTACCCGTCTCAATTTGAATGCATTTACAAGCCACAAAGCGCAGACCACGATAACTTTGTTCAGTCTTAGTTAAATAAGTGTCTTGGGACGGGACTTTGCTGCATCTCTTATCGATTGCTGATTTAAGTTCTTGCAGTATTTAGGGAGTTTCCTGTCTAGTTCTCAGCGAAACCGGAAGTGTTTTTACTGTGCTGCCCGACTGAAGCATTCCTTAATTGCGCTGCCAAGCATGTGTTATTAGCCAACATGTATTTACTGTCAGCTGCAGCCGCAGCGCCGCAAATTGTTCGGCTTCGCCGCTGAACAAACGCAAACAAGAAGTTGGCTTCGCGCTGTGTGCTGTGTGTTGTGTGTGCAATTGTTTGGCGCAATTTGCGGCGATGAAGCTAACAAACTGAGTTCTGTAATAGTCTTCTTGCAAGGCATTCGTTTGTGGACCTACTTGGCGCTGTTCGTTTGTGAAAACGAAAGTGAAAATGCAACACGAAAATAACGTGATCTGGGCGCCAACGCCAACGCCAGTACCAGTGCCAGAGCTGCGCCTGATGTTCGACAAGAGCAGCTCAGCTCCGCTGAAATGGTTGGGATGTGTGTAAACACAAACAAAACTGTGTACATTTTCACTTTTCCCCAGAGCAAAGCCTCAGTCTGACTGACTGCCTGCCTGACTGCCTGTCTTTCTGTCTGTGGGGGGCTGGGCGTGAATGGCGTGTCAAACAACGCAGCCTGGCAAAGGTAAATAAAAAGTTGGCGACGTGCATTGTGTGGCTAAGAGACGACTGTGGTGCTTGGAGGGCGGGCACGCGCCCTTAAATTGAGACACCCGTCAAATTGGCAACAGCAAATCATTTGTTTTCGCCAGGCTGATTAGCGAGTTGGCAGTGCCATAAAACGGGGATTCGCTGGGGCCAGGAGGAGTGAATGGAAAAAGCTGTACCTGTTGTAGGAGTAACTGCCCCCAGTACATATGTATATGTACATTCTACGAGTAAACGGCACTCGACAAGGTCACATCGTTTGGTTTCCTGTCACGTGCCAAAAGGTTATTTATTCGTGTGCCATGCACTGGCACTGGCACTGGCACTGAGCTGGTCCCCAATCTACTCAAACACGGGAAATAAAGCATTTTAATGGCGCCATTCTTCATTCCAGAGACACTGCGCTGCGTCCGGGGTGCAGAGAGCAACGTGTGTTGTGGCATGCAAGTGCAGTAACCGCAAGGATAATGGAAATGTTGAGCCAAGCCATCCTCGGAGCAGGTAGCCGCCACGCGAAATTAAAAGCAAACAGCCACAGAAAACGACGCTGCAGCCAGCTGTTTTGTTGCGTTCTGTTGCTGTGTCATCTCTGGCTGGTTGCCGCACAAGCTTCGGAAGCGACAGCGTCTAACTTGAACGCGCCCTATAGCCAGCCCCTGACCACGATGGCTGGTGCGCCCCGCAACGATGACAACACATTTCGACCCATTCTCCCCATCGACATAAGCCCAGAGTTCATATCCCGCAATGTTTTCACAAAGACGGGACAATATCGCGTCTTCCAGCCCGCGGAGAGCGAGAGTGACCTTCGCCTAACGGTGGCCATGAGGCGGCGAAACTTCAAGCATCGACCAGAGACAGCAGAGGCGACTCCTGCCAGTGTAGTCGAGCCCAAGAGTGTTTCTGTGGGCAATGTGGAGCAGGGTCCACCGGGCAACAGCTCCGAAACTCTACAGTCTGAGCTGAAGGGCCTGGAAGATCTGCTCATGGAATATGTGGAACAGTTTTTCAGTCAAGGCAAATACGAGCCCGCCCCCGGCCTGGTGTTTGCTCTGCAACAGAATCGCACGAGTGCTCATTCGACCAAGGGACAGCGCAGCACACGGAGCATTCTGGAAGACACCAATGTGGAGCTCAATGTCCCACGGGCTTTTGAGAGCGCCCGGCTTCTGTTCTTCAGCGGTAAGCAGTCAACGAAAGACTGAAATTCATTATAAATATCTACCATTTTTAAATTTCAGGCCTGAAGAAAGTAATGTGGCCAATCTACATGGGATTACAGGTGCTGAAGAGCGTGGTGCTTGCCCTGTTCTTGCCGACCATCGTTAGCAGCGTCACCCGGCTGATTGGAAAGGGTAAGTTGGCTTGAATTTTACCCAGGACAAAGCAGGGGATTTCAAATTTAAACTCGGACCAGGCATTACGTCCGGCTCTGCCAGCTCCGTGCCGTTGTTTGTCCGGCCCATGGAGCCGCCGCAGGAACTGGACTTCCGAGACAACTCTCTGAACTTTGACGACGACAGCAAATTCAGCTTGGCCGACGACACCAAAATCGGCTGGAGCCTACGAATACAATGCAGGTGGGTGGCAGTTGTGCTGTGATTTTTTTCCCCTAATTAAATGAGCAATAAATCAACAACTAAGCAACATTTTAATTACGCTCCACAGAGGCCTCCCAGCAGCAGGCCCAGTACGCCAACTTTAATGGCAACTCAATCAACCAGGCGACGCTTTCCCGCTATGGCGGCCAGCAGATGATGCAGGACACCTACCTCAATGCGCTGCAGAGCATTGGAGCCGCCTCCTTCAAGAACTCACAGAGTCTGTCGGGGTCGTCGAGTGCAGCGGGAGCGGCACCCGGCATGACCAGGAAGCCAGCCCCGGCGGTAATGAACACGTTCCAGAGCTTCCAGAAGGTGCCCAACTCGTCGCTGCTGCTGTCCAACTACGACCCCTTCTACAGTCCGTTGCTGTCGCGGCTGGACTCGGTGTTTGCCCAGCTCAAGCTGAACTCGGCGAACGAGACCTGCCGCGAGAAGCTCATCTGTCTGATGTACTCGAACCCCGCGAAGTATGCCCCATACAGCAATCTGGTGTCCGCGCAGCTGAGTCGGTGAGTACGGCCACGGCCTGAAAGTATGCTGCGAAATGAATTCATCCATTAATCTCGACCAAACTTATGGTACTTCCGTTTTGGTTCAGGGAACTAAACGAGCTGCGCAAGCCCACCTCCGATAATCCGGACATCCTGCGCTTCTTCAAATACATGCGGGCGGCCAAGGACGGACAGGACGGCGTCGACTGCGAGCAGTCGTTTGTCAAGTGCAAGGAATTCAAGGATTTCGAGAATCCAGCTATGCTTTCCACCTACAACGACATTAACAAATTGGTTCAGGCCCGTAAACTGACGTAGACGAGGAGCAACATCGAGCATCCAGCATCCAGCAACCAGGATGGGCGGAACAATGACAGCAAAAGTTCGCAAAGTCACGTCAGGCCGTCTAATGTCTGATGTCTGATGACTGAAGTCTGGGGACTCGAGCTGTAATTATGCAAATCGTACTTTAGATAGCCTAGCCATATACAAGTTCGTTAGACGCTCCAACGGAGGCAGCTGTCAGCAGACGCCCCCAGAGTGGAGCGCGGTTGGGGTTTTGGGTTTTGGTAGGGTCGAAGAGGATTGGGAAGTGGGTAGGGGAACTCGATTAACATGCTGTAAATAGAAAACTTTTTAGTTGTTTAATTAGCACGGGCGCCTATCAACGAATGATGCTGTTTTATTTAGCCATTTAGAGGAATTTCGAATAGTATTTATTTATTTATTTATTTATAGCCTTAACTTAATGTTTACCTATTTATTTTTAATAATATATTCTGTTGTTGTTATCCAAGTAGTCATCGAAAGTTGTTCAGAGCATTATTTATAAATAACCAATAAAGTTATGTTGTACCATCAAGACAATTTGATAAATTGAGCGGCCGTTCGTTGTCCTTTCCACTAGCACTACTCAAGGAAATCAAAGGGGGGAGAGTCTGTTGTGAGACAGCAATAAATAGATTAATCTTCCAAATACAATGTAATATTCATTATTAATTGATTTAATATAAGTTGAGGATGCGATTAGCTTCAATGGCCCTGACTCACCACTCCATTCGTTCTGATGGGATTCAATTGATAATTCATTATATATGAAATTACTTGAGGCGGCTTAGCATTTTATTGTTTTCATTTGGTGCACAATTTGATTATTTCCAACAGCGTTTCCTGGTTGCATAATTAATTCCAACAATAAAGTTTGTTTTGCATTTATTTTACTCAAATTGTTTTCGAAACATTTTTGCAAAGTGTTAAGCCCTTTAAAATGCTAATAATATTAAATTCGAAAATGGCTTAAAATGCCCCGTAACCAATACCTAAAATCAAATAAAAATTATATTTTTTTCCAACAAATATGCTAAAGGTGTGGCCACGCCCTTGGGTACGCCCTTGGCATCCCCTGAAAATGCAACTTAATTTCCCTGCTGCGTAAATTCATTATTATTGTATCAGTCCAATTGATTTCAATTAGCCGGTGGTATGACCGACTGAAATTGCATTTAATTTCTGCTTACGGGATCGGCCAGTAAGCTAATTAGCCAATTGTCTCTGGTGGTGGTCTTTGGCAGAAGAACTGCTCAATGGAGTACGCTTTCGACTGATTGAAAATACGAGTATTCATCGCACTTTCATCAGATTTGTCTTCCCGCTGGAAAAGTGCTTTGAAGGGCAAGTGGAGAATGCAATTCCAATTTTAAATTTCCAATTGTGCAATGCATTTGCATTGGGGCTGAGTGCTAAGTGGATTGACAGGGGTCCCACGACGCAGTTCCATTGTCGGTCTGTGTCACAAGCACAACACTTGACAGTCGAGGAGCTGAGCCATGCCCACTGGCCCACCGACATGCTGAACCATTTCCGCATAGCGCTCGATTGTGGTCGGTACGGGAATTGGAGGAACGGCAATCTCAGAAGCGGAGATTGCAACAGCGTCGCAGTGGGAAAATCCTCAGTAATGTTTCGAGTTTCGGGGCTTTTCCCCGGTTGCAAGTAGCAGTGCAGCAGCTCCCACCGGCAATCACGCCATGCCACGCCTCGCCACGATACTCTCCACTGTCACAATAGCCACGAACTTCCCCAGCGTTCGGCCAAATGGGGCACACACAGACACTTGTGTGCTGATGCAGCCATTTGCATAGTTTGTTCACATTTGCCATGACTTTTGGCAATGTTTGTGGCGCCCCCCTTTGTGGGCATTTGCAAACCAGTTCAGCAAAACGGAGCGCAGTAAAAGCAATCATTGCCTGTGTGGCAATCAGTCGAAAGTTACATAATCCCCGGGCTCCAAGTGACGTACCTTTTCCCGCCGAGCCATGTGTGGATGAGTCACCCGTAGAGCGGCGAGGTGTTGTCTCTTTAAAGCAAACTCAAATTAAAGCCAAGGCCTCGACGTGCGCCACAATAATTTTTGGGGTTTTCTCAAGGCACACGAGCGCTCCAGCCGCAACCAGCCGGACACAAGTCGTTGACGTCGCACTACCTACAGGCCCTCGACTGATCGGGTATCTCGACCCCCAACCTACCTCAAGCTCGAGCGTGTTGATCGCGCGGACTCCTCTGCCTCTCAACCATCATCATTGTGGGCTGGAACCGACGACGCGTCTGGGCCATTGTCTGTTGACTTCTTTTTTTGTGCGTTGTCTTGTTGCCTGTTGCCAGTGCTGCTGCTGCTGCTATTGCGATTGCTCTCCTCTGCTACTTCTCGCATTTCATATAAAATCTTTGCCGGCCAACAGCCACGGCACAGTCGCTTGTAAGCCAGCAGAAAGGCAAAGTCGCTTTAAGTCAGCCGTTAAGGATAAACCAAACAAAAACACCCTCAAGCTCCTATAGGAAACAGCAAAAGGTAAACAGCAAAAGAAGCCAGTGAAAACGGCAAACAGCCAAGTGAAGTGAAGTGAAAATGAACTGTCAGACGTTGCGTAATAAGTCAAGATGAAATGGCAGTGGAATATGTTATTAATACCAATTTAAAGCGGTCATACAGTTGTGCCCGTGAGCTGTATTTATCTGGAAGCCGGTGAAGCCATCGTTTCCATATATCGTTCATTTGGTGCTGTAATACCCGTCCACATTTCATTGACCTTCGATGGCAAATGCAAATTCGAAAGCCAAACAAATAAAACAAACACGACACACTGACCAAAATTTGGACTCACTTTCAACACCGCATTCGCAGTACATTGACTGAAGAAAATATGGCCATGAATAATTAATTAATTCAATAGCTCAGCCACTCAGCCACTCGCCTCTCCGCGAATCGGGCAATAAAAATTCAGTTGTATCCCTCAGCTAGCCCTTGGGTGGATACCCCCATTAATATGTTTAGATATCTGATTAAATTTAATCACGGCATTAGGAGAGATTAGTTAGGATTGGTTAACTGTGTAGTTAATACACGACACAGACACGGACTTGACATGAGCATTAAAAAAGTATTGCATACTTTTAGTTGCCAAAAAAATTAAAGTAAAACTCATGTAGAAATGCCATTTGTAGGCGTCTCCGAACCTCGTCCGGAAACGCTTCCTCTGGCTACACAAATCTAATTTAATCACCAGAAATGTTCTCGCAAAAGTTGCAACATTAAAAGTTTCCCTAACGGCACTAATTTCCTCATGGGTATACTAGTTCCAGCAGCTGTTTAATTATACTCACAGCATACTGACATCAATTTATCAGTATCAAATAAGAGTTTGGTGCCAAATATATGGGGCAGGAAATTTCAAGAAATCAAGAAGAATTTTTTCATCGTTTGGAATTGCTTGGAAAAACGAACACAAAGGTTATGGCTTTTATGTGGTTTACCCACATTAGATGTGGAGATGACCTGACCCTTCGAACAGCCACCAATGCGACCCAAGCCACATTCAAATTGACGAACAATCGGCACACTGATGAGTGCGAATCGCAAAACTCGTGGCATGCAGCCATCCCCCCACCAACACCACCAACATGGAGAAGCGAAAGGAATGCAAACGAGACTAGGCGCCAGAGGAGCCCCTGGAGCATAACGAACTGATTCGTGTTTGAATTCAGTTGGCGTCAGGCGACAGTGGGCAGTGAATCTATCGATGGGGTACATATGAGGGACTAAAGCTATTGGCAGAAATGTAGCCATACAAATATTTAGAATCGTTAATAATAGCGGTAAAAGGCGACATGGGTATTCAATGCAATGTAGAAAATTGTCTTGCCGAATTCCACATAAAATTAGTCGCAAATAAACCCAATTGAGCCCACTGTCGGTCCGCATCAGAAGAGCATCACATTAAGCACGGTTTAATGCATTGACTGCCTGACCAAAACTTTTGCAGACCTTTTTAAAGCACATTAGGTCCGCTGTTTATGGGTTTTCGCACAAAATTCAATTACGTGCATTTGCCGCCTCATTGCTGCCAAAGGGTTAAGCGACCAAACCGAACCGAACCGGTTTGGCCTGCATTTCACTTTGGGTGCTCGTCACGAACCCCAACTTACATCTGTGTGTCGGCTTTTTGTGGCTTTCCTCTGTGCTCGCATTGTATTTTTGTGTGTTTTCGGCCACAGAAAGCTCAGTGCGAGAAATTTGTGGCAGCTTTACGGTAAGCAGCTGCTCGAACGGCGTGAGCTGAAAGCGAGAGTTATTACGTCTAAGCGTAAGCGTTAGCGTTAGCGTTAGCAGAGGCTAATTGCAGAGGCTGGCCCGCAGCTGCACTAGTGATGAGCCATGAGCCCATGAGAAGTGTGTCAGTTGTGAGTGGGTTCCATTAAGCCACTGAGCATCTGCCAGTTAGCCAGAGTGTAAAAGTTGCCAAAAAAAAAAAATGAGTCAGGTTTTCGAGCTGTTTCTTTGGCGTCGCGTGACAAAATCGAAGAGTCGAACATAATCGAACGTTGAGAGTGATAGAGAAAACTTCGGCTGACGCTCTTACCGGTTCAGTGTCAATTAAACGAACGAAAATTGTTTGTACATCGGCTGAGGAGACGTCAACAACAATTAATGTAGGCTTGGAGCCAACGGACGTGTCTAAAACTGTTTCTTCTCCTGCTTTCAGCCATGGCAATGAGAGCTCTCGCCTTGCTGGCCATAGTCGGTGCAGTCGGCATGGGCCTGGTGGCCGGCGAAGGTCTCCGCCTGCCCGACCAACAGTCTTCGAACAACATCCAGCAGGTGTATGCGCCGCAGCCGCAGCAACAACAGCAAATCCAGCAGCAGCCACAGACGCTGCAGTTCCAGCAGCAGCCGCAGCCAGCAGCAGCAGCAGCAGACTGGTCCAGCTGGAGTGGGTGAAGAGCGTGGTCGCTCCTCCATTTTGAGCATCTTTGGTCTGGGAGGCAACGACAACGATCCGTATCTGGCGCGCACCAACGGCAACTGCCTGGGCGGCGATCTCTCCGAGTGCTTCAAGACCCAGGCCCTCAATACGTTCGATGAGATTTTCTTCCGAGATCAGTACCGGTAAGGATGGACAGTCTTGGCTGATTCACTCTCTAGCCGATTGAAGATTGACTAAACACCCAACCCAACTCGCTTTCACAGCCTCTCGGACTTTGCTCGCGTCGTGCGTCTGCCCGAGACCCAGCAGCGTTCGCTGCTGCAGGAGCCCTTCGAGTACTCCGAGGAGCCGCGTGGCGAGGATGACGACTGGAATCTGCTGGTGAAATTTGCCCTCCGTCGGGCCGAACGGTAAGCTGTCACAATTAACCAAATGACTGCGGCTCGTGCCGGATGCAAATTAATTTGGGTCGCCCGTCAAAGTCGCCCCAAAGTTTATGCATAAAATATGAGATTTTTATGAAAATGCAAATTCTCATTCTCTGGCACGTCCATCCTCTCGCTACAGGTTCATCAAGTCCACGGCTCTGGAGGTTGAGTGGCCCGAGGAGCTGACCGAGGCAGGCCGCTACGAGGCCCGCTTCATTGGCAACGACATTGATGATGAACTGGATGTCATTGAGAACAAGCGGGCGGGTGCCTTCTGTAAGTCCTCAAAGACATTAAATATTAATGCTGACTGCGGGCCGCTAATCAACTTTTTCGACCCTTTTTTTGCCTCTTTCCCGTGCAGCCCGCAAGAAGCTGAAGAAGATGATTATTCCCCTGCTGTTGGTGCTGAAGATCTTCAAGCTGAAGCTGCTCCTTTTCCTGCCCTTCATTCTGGGCATTGCTGGTCTCAAGAAGATCCTCGGCCTGGCTGCCATCATTCTGCCCGGCCTCTTCGCATACTTCAAACTTTGCCGGCCACCAGGCGGCGTTGGCGGCGCCTTCGGCGGCGGCCTGTCCGGCCTCTTCGGCAGCAAGAACACTTTCCCCGAGTACACGCCACAGGGAGTCGGTGCGGCCACGTACTACCATCACCATGAGCACTTCGAGGGTGGCGGCCACGGCGCCCCCGGATCCTTCCCCTATCGCCAGGAGCCGAGCTTCGCAAAGCCCTACACTGATTACTACAGCAAGAGCTACCAGGGCCAGGAGCAGCAGCAGCAGCAGCAGCAGCAGGTGGGCGGAAACTCCGTCAGCTTCGGCGATCCTCATGTGGCAGCCTACAACGGCTACTACGGACGCAACACCGGCAAGGACATTGCCGCCGAGCCCCAACAGCAGCAGGCGCAAAAGAGCTAAATGTGGAGCGGACCACCGTCCCCAAGTTGTTATTTATTTGGCCCTCGGCCTTGTTGCTTTCCTATAAGAATATTTATTACGCTAATTGTAAATAAAAACCAAACTTTCAATTGAAAATCGCTGGCATCTAGTGGGGTAACTCTCGGTGGCTGCATGGGGGAGGAGGCGGCTTTTAATTAATGGTAAAAATTTCACTGCGAAATGCTTTTCCAAATTCTGCACTCGCTCTGCTTTTACTGGCTTTGAAGTTGCTACAAATAAAATGCAGCTTTTAATTAAGGCAATGAAATGCCGAGGCGAGAAAACTGTGGAAAAGTGGACTGGCGTGTTTTTTTTGTTGTATTTTGGTTTTGCTTTGGCCACGCGAGGGTTGCTCCAACGTTTCTGTATATATCGATGATGTCTGTACTGATAAATATGTTGACAATAAAGTATTTGAAAATAGATGTGCATAGTTTATAGGACACAAAGTGACTCTTATTATTAATTCTAGTGGAACTTTCCTTTAACATTGTGATATTAATCGAGCTCCTCTCGCGCCAGCTGCTCAGGCTTGGCCAACTTTAGCGCTGGTAGTTCAAAGTCAATGCCAATGCCAAAACCAAAACCAATGTAGGGGTAATGGCGGGCTGCTGGCTGCCACTGTCTGACGTTGTCAACGCTCCGCAATCGTCGACACCGTCGGAGGAGTCGACTGGACCACATTTTCCAAAAGAAAGCGCCCCGGTGGCCGGCAGGCAGGCAGGCGGCTCACTTGAGAAATTGTTATGACTCTGGCTGTGGCCAGAGCAGGCGGCACAGAGAAGGAGAAGTGGTTGCGGCAACTGGATTGGGCGGACGTATTTGTGATTTTGGTGCGGTTTGATTTTTGAGCCTCACAAAGATACAAAAAAAAAACACACACACACACAGAAAAAAGATACAACGATCGGGGGCCGGGGCACATGTGGCCAGGAGAGCAGCGCAGTGCAGCACAGGCAACGGTTTATGGACAGATCGCATAGCGGTTTGTGCGCCCCACTGCCCACTTTCGTGGCTTGTCGTCCCACTTTTATCGAGCACCGTCCAGTGTAGCCTACTTCCAGCACTGCGGAAAATTAAACACCTCCAGCGGCTGACCGCCAATTTTCGTTGTGTGCAATAACTCTGTGGTCTTGGCAGGTAAATTGATGAAATTTGCTCGATAAATGGCCTGCGCAGGGGGCACCTGTTGGGGTGCCGCGACGTTACGCCCTTTCTCGCTGGCGATTGTGGAAAATGTAATAAGTGCCATATATTATTTCCTCTTTACGCTTAATCTTTGCCGGCTGAAAGCAAAAGGCGTTTGTGCACGCTGCCCGCTGTGGCAATAACGGGGCTCGCCTCGCCTCGCATGTGGCAGAGTGAAATTGGTAACGAGAAAGGGCGGTCCCAGCGTCGTGGGTGGCTACAGAGCCATGGGAAAAATAACACGAGAATATCCAGACTCCTCCGGCCCCTTCCCCTTTGTTGCTATCAATTTGCAGAGTAGCAGCAGTGGTGCATTGAGGGGGTCAAACTATGCAATTATCAGTCTGAACAGATTACGGGCAGTAAATGGCTATCAGCAGGCGAGGGAGGGACTCGATTTAGCTTTAACGATTTTAAAGTAATTTTTAATGGCTGAATTTGAAATATATTTAGGACTTCTCGCCCTCCTGCTGCGCCACTGTCTTGCGCTCTGTTTTCCGTGGAATGGAGAGGAGAACCTTTGACTAATTGGAGCAACTAAAAAGTTTCCATGTTTGCATGCGTGTCGTCAATTGCAGTCTGGTTTTCCCTGCCGACTTACCGCTGACTTTGTCTCGCAGTGTGGGAAAATTGGCCGTTTTTGTTGTTGGGAATTAGGTCTGAAGTTTACTTTCAGCTGGCTTTGTTTTTCTTGGCGACCCACGCTGCAAAGACAACAAAAGCAGAAGAGAACTTGTCGTCGAGAAAAACAAACTCAGATGTGGCCTAGGTCTGGGCCAGTGCCGTGCTGCAAGAGGTTCAGAGACAAGGCCATAAAGTAGCAGCTTCCCAGAAGTTGGGGAGCATTTCCCGAAACTGGCCAAACGAGTCCGTCCATTGGTCCGTGGTCCATGGTCCATGGTCTGTGGGCTGGTGGCTGGTGGCTCCAGCTACGGATGATGCTAAGGCACTCTCGTCTTTTGGTGGACGGGACCAGTTCCAGGCAGCAAACACAAACGCCAGCGTCGCTGGTAGAGCTGGCTGGCTGCGGCAGAGGCCCGTATTGTGTTTGCAATGCTTTTGGCCGCTTTTCATATAAAATCGAAGTCACTGGCGGAAAATTCGCATTAGGTTTTGCTATCAAGACGACGATGTCAGCAGAGACAGCAGCAGAGCAGACGGCGTGACATTAAAGCAGAGCAGAGCGTAGACGCGGGCGTTGTGAGAGTGTGTGTTTGTGTGTTTCAGTGCCGAAAGGATAAAGCCAGGATATACCAAAAGCGACTATATGTGCAGGCAATAAGTGGCCGACGACTCTAGTGCTATCCGAAAACAAAGAACAACATCCAACCCAAAACAACCCAAAACAACCCAAAACAACAAAAAACAAAACAAGAGACAGAGAAAACATTGAGCCATGCAAACAGTAAAGGTCTGCACGCTGCTGGCGTTCTTCCTCGTCCTCGTCTCGGCCAGAGGCAGCAAGCGAAGGGATGGCACCCTCACGGTAAGGTCCAGCAAAGCTCCGCGATAACATTCGGCATTAATTGCCAGTGACAAGGATACAAGTTTTGTCCCCCAAAACAGAAAGCAAAGCTAAAGTCAGTGTGGTGACCATTTTGCCTTATCCGAATTTCATCTCCTTCTGTCCCTGGAATGACAGTCACAAGATAGCCTGCAGGCCAACTGAGCTCCATCCATTGTCCCTCGCCCCGTGCTAAGCTCCATTTCCGCTTATTCCAGATAACCGACGACGAGCGGCGGAACATCGAGGACTTTCTGCTGGCCAAGCTGAAGCAGAACTGCAGGCAAGAGGATGACCGTGCCTGCAGGATGATCAAGATGTCCATTGTTATGAATCACCTGTACCTGAATACTCGCCTGGACCTGGGCGACCGAGTGAAGGTCACGGAGAACTGGTAAGTGGGTGGGAGGGGGACTTTGGCCATCAGCTGTATTGTCCGCATCCGCAGGAACATCTCAATGGTACCAGATGACCCGGAGGTCAACCAGCTGCTGGCACGTTCCATGGGCTCCGATGAGGAGACCTTTGCCCTGCTGATGGCAAACAAAATGTGGAAATACATCCGGTCACGTTCGCTGCGCTATAAGTTCACGGACAATGCCGACTTTGTGATGAACAGCGATCCGGAGGGCAGCCTCAACATCGGCGTCTCCGTGCGGCCCCTGGAGGCGCTACAGGAGGGTCGCGGCAAGATGAAGAACATGGGTCCCATGCTCATGATGATGGCGGCCAAGACGGGCATGGTCGGCGCCCTGCTGCTCAAGGGTCTCTTCCTGCTCGCCGGAAAGGCTCTAATTGTGTCAAAGATTGCCCTGCTGCTGGCCGTCATTATATCGCTGAAGAAGCTCCTCTCCAGCAAGAAGACGATTGTCGAGGTGCCCTCGCACCACGACAGCTACAGCTCGGGCTGGGCGCGTGCCTTCGATGGCTTCGTCGAGGGACTGGTGGATGTGCCGGCCGATATTCTGGCCAAAGAGATGCAGCATCAGCAGGAATCGCACGCCCAGGACATGGCCTACAGCGCCCAGCAGCCGGCCAAGGTGGCGCAATAAAACTGGCTCAAGTGCAATTAACTTGTTATTTATGTTATTGGATCAGGAATGAACTAAATTGGGTTTTCTGCTTAACAACAACAACACATTCCTGGTGGCTTAGGGAAACTTGTATCAAGCTCTCGTCTCGCTCTCTCTTTATCTGTCTTTCTCTCCATCTATGCTTCTCTTTGACTCATTCTGTGTTCGACAGGCAGCTTCGGCTTTCTCTACTTTCTATCTTCCTTTTGCAGAATTACGCTCTTTCTTCACTCTCTTTTCGCAAACTTTCCCCCTGTGTGTTTTCTCAATGATGCTCATTCTCTCATTTGTAATTTATTTATACTTACATTTAACGTATTTATTTATTAATATTAATGATATTTATTGCATAAATAAAAAACATACCCGAATCATTATAATTTCTGAACAACTTTGTGCTCAATTATTTAATACCGTTTTTTTGTAGTTTTTGTAGCATTTGATTGCTAATTACAGAGACATTGAACTAGACTAAATGTGTGCGCTAGGTTTCACTTAATTAAGAACAATTCAATAAATAATAACAATAAATAAGCTCATTAAATTAAAAGCAGCCTAAAGCACTCCACGTGGCCGGGCCGGGCCCTCACGTTTCGCGTTCGCGTGTCACGTCCGCTGTTCTTCCTATGGCAGCAGAACAACCTCTACACCACCTCCTCTTTTACGCCTCCTCGTCGACGCGTCTACGGTCTTTGGTAGCGGGCATTGGGGCGGGCTTGTGCCAGTAGCTGCACTAATTGCCTAATCATCGCCTCAGGAGCGGTAGTAGGGCATATGCGGCTGCACGTAGTTGTAGATGAGTGGCCGCCTGGCTGGAGTGGCTGCAACACAGATGATGGGTTCATTAATCACAGTTTTGCTGTTTACTTGAGTGCAAATGCAAGAGGAAAAGAATGCAATATATCAGGGCGTGCCCAGGTGGATTATGTTCCCCGAGTTGGTTTGTTAGTGACACACCTAGAAACTCTTAAGAGTTAAATAGTATTATGGTTGAGCAGCGTTCAGTTTCCTCCATTATTTATGTTCAATTTAGATTTTCTGTCAGCTAAGAAATATGCAACGACTGGCGCACAGGCACACACACGGCCAGTGCGTACACACTGCACATTTGTAGACTTAATTCTATGACAATTCCCATTGAAGTGTGAGTGTGCTTCTGTTTATTTGAATAAACGTGTCTAACACTTTCTGTTCTCGGTATGCGAAGTAGCGAAGAAGAGACTCGGGTGACGAGACGCATTGAATACCTCAATCGCTCCAAAAGTATGCAATTCTCAGTGGAAAAACTCGACTTAAATTTTGCGGCAAGTTGAAATATAGCCAAAACCATGTACTGGGGAAATGTGAATGACGCATTTCAGCCATTAAATTCTCGGCGGAAAATGTTTGTGCTTTGACTTAGTGATCCCCTAGAGAGAGTGCTTTGGAGACCAGCCCAAATACCGCAAGTGTGCGTGACAAGAAGCAAATCAAAGATATAAATACACTGCTCAGTCATCATCATCATCCTCATAGTCGTCCTCTATGCTGGCCTCGGCCGCAACAGCAGCTTCTGCCAGCACATTGAAAGTGTTCATGCTAACGAGTGAGGAGCTGGAGGAGGCTGGACGTCGCCGTCGCCCACGATATCTGGCAAGGCGCCGCGACCACTTACCCCAACCCATACCCATGGCTATCTGGAAAAACGAGAGGGCTGCATCAACTTACACTTACTCTTCGCCATCCAAGAGTCCTCACGTTTGATTTTATGGCCCAGGCCGCCGAGACCGCCCAGAGCTGCCAGCACCTGGGTATGGTTGCTCCCATCGCTGGAGACCTGTGAGTGCAGATGACTCTCGGCGCTGAGGTTTTCCAGGCCAGGATGGCCAGGATGACCGGACAATTGGCCGCCGCCGGCCATTGCCAGATGATGGAGCGAGCCTGGGTACATCTCTGGGGAGATATCGCCGCCATGCAGTCCACCATAGTCCATTCCATAGGGCATCATGTAGGGCGTCTGCTCCGGGAACTGATACATCATCCTAGCGAAATCACAGCCAGAATCACAGTCGGTAAATAGATTTGTTAACCAATGGGTAGACTCACTTTTCGCTGGCATTATCCATCAGCTTCTTGATCAGGACTATGGCGGCCACGACAAACGCGATTTTGGATAGGATGAGAGCCTTCAGCGTGAGCAGGCCCACCGCCTTGGCGGCCACCATTGTCCAGCCAAATGTTGTCGCTGCCAGGTACATGGGTATGAGCATCTGGAACTGCTTCTTGTCCTGGTGCTGATGTCGTCGGCGCAAGGGTCCGCCGCCACCTCCGTTGTCCCCACCTCCTCCACCCAGTAGGCCGCCGCCGCCGCCACCGCCACCTCCAATACCGCTGCCGCCAAGGAGGCCCCCGCCTCCTCCGCCGCCAAGCAGGCCTCCACCGCCGTTGCCCTGCAGCCGTCCTATAGTTGGATTTGAGAAAACAAGACACGTTTTATGCTTTATGGCCGTAATGGCTATGGGACGTATACGTAATATTGGGACAAAGGATAGAGGACAGAGGACGGGACTGCATTAGCTTGTTCTGGGATGTGATGGGATGTGATATGATTGATGGGAGAGTCCGATGTGTATCGAACGTCGGATTAAATGAGGATAAATAATGGGAGTTTGTGCTGCCAATGTCATTGATATGCAGCAGGCAATGGAATCGAGATTCCTGCCAAGTTTTTAACTCATGCCCAGACCCTGCGGGTCGGAAGTCTAAAGTGTTGTGACATATGTTGCCTGTGGGGGCCTGCGGGAGTGCGGGCTGCATGCCAAGTGCCAAGGAGCAGCTGCTGATGCCTCTCCGGACTCGAACGTTGCTGAATTTGGGCTGTTTGGCTGTCAGACATGTGTGCATATGTCAAGCGCTGATTGGGTCCCTGTCGTTCATTACCTGTGCCGCTGGAGGCCTTCTTTAGGAGCGCCACCTCTATGTAATCACTGTCCTCCTCCGAACGCTGCACACTAAACACCATGGGGCCAACGGGCACCCGAACGGCATTGCCACTGACAAAGTCCATGAAGCTGGCCAGGCCTCGGCCCGTGCCCCACTTGTGCTTGTGCGTTGCGTCCAGGTCGGGCAGCCTGACGAGGTCGAAGAGTCCCAGCTTGATGGTTTCGCCCAGCTGGTAGGAGGCCATGATCCCATTGGCCACGCCATACAGACAGCTCGCATTGTTGGCGCACTTCCAGCTTAGTTTATCCAAGAGGTCCGTGTTCTCGACGCTCCCTGCCGGACTGGGCGCGGGCTTTGACTGGGCGTGGGAGTGGCTCGCAGACTCCCCACCCAGGGAGTTGGCACCGCTGCGCTTGTGGATGGCTGCAGTCGCTGGCTGCAGGCCACTCAGAGCCAGCAGCAGACAGCTGGCAGCAAGGTAGGGCAGCATTTTGTCACTGATAGTTTTTTAATTTTATTTTCTTTTTAATTTGGAAGAAAACACAACACTGCAATAAGGACGAGAGTCAGGGAGAGCACGGCGTATCCTTCACATGGATAATTGTCGACGGAGACGCGAATCGTTGGCAGGTGATGCAGCGCCTTGCAACACGCTGCTGTAAAGACTAATTACTAGACGTTGCATGCAACTCAGTTTTATTGGAGCAGCAGCCCCCATCTGTAGCAGTAGCAGTAGCAGTAGCAGCAGCCGCAGCAGCAGCATCTAACACCGGCTGCGTGCAGCCCCAGCGTCTGCCACGCCAATTGCAACAACAGTAACAACAACAACAACAGCAAATGCAACACCATAGAGTCTGCTCGCAAACAATTTTGCTACAGTTTTGATTTCAAGTCAACCAGCTGAGTGACGGCCATCGCTCAGCAGGCAGCCAGCATCAGAAATCAGACTCGACTCTGGCTCTGACTCCATGCAGTCGCACGTCACTCGGTGCACAGTGGAACAGACTCAGATAGCAGAACCCTGGGTTCGCTGCTTACTAAATTAATTTAATGTTTAGGAGTTCATCGAAATTAAACAAGGAAAACCAAATCAAAATCCAATTGCAATTTTTTCAGAAAACAATTTTTCACACAAAAACTATTATAAAATGCTCCGTTCTACAGAATAATACAAAATGAAATGAAATCATTAAAAAAAATGTTGCGGAGAATTAGCGAATTAGCCCCTTACATAATTTTTTCATTTGTGACAAATTTATAAGTATAGATTTATTTTTACCACAAATTAACTTTAATAACCTGTTAAAAAAACTTCAATACATTTTGAAATAATATTAAAATTAATTGTATGGAGGGCTAGCATCGCGGAGCCTTCGGCTCCAACCTTCGACAATATAATTTCCTAATAAACAATAAACTATTCCCCAAAATCCATTCATAATTCGAATATTCGCTACCCTTTCGTTCCTCGTATTACAAAGAACTGAGTACATTATTGAAAATCCGTTAAAAGTAATTCAAGTAGGCAGAAACACAATTATTTTATCCTAATATGTACCAATGGCCCCGGAAAATCTCGTTCTGAATTTAGTGTTGATTAAACACAATCCGGCCCACTGTGGCGAGCCCCAGTTCATTTGCCTGGATGAAATTCGCTTTGTTTTGCATGCATCCCCTTCTTTTCACGTGCTCGGGATGGAGCCACAGTCACTCCCAAAAGGGTCAAAGGGTGATCGAATTACGAGCAATTGAATGAACCACATGACATTAAAGTCAGAGTCGCTCAGGTGGAGCTGCAGGGCACTTCATATGAGGGGCTTGGTCGTTGGTCGTTGGCCGTGGCCAGGCAAATTGTCTGCACCGCCGGCGTCCACGGCATGTGGTCGGTGTACGGCTAATGCGGCTAATTTACTGCTCATTAATTTGCCAGTAATTTGCGCGAGAAACAATTTTCGCAGGCAAAAGTAAAAGCAAGGCACACAACACTCAGCACTTAGCAGTGAGTACTCTCGGTCGACAATTAAGTCGGAACCGGAGAGGGAGGAAGCGGGAGTGGGACTGGGACGGGCACTGGCACCTGGGCTTGGGAGGAGCAGGAATATGTGTATGTGGGTACGGCACGCCTCGTCGCCTGCGCCGGACGGGCAGCAGCCGGCGCAGCGCCACAATTCAAAATAAATAAATAAATAAATAATAAAAGAAAAGTGAAACGAACTATTAGCTCTCGTTTTTCAAAGATCGCCGCAGCGGCGTGGCGCGTCTGCGGCTCGGCTCGGCTCAGTTACATTCTGTTGCACACACTAGAGCGGTGTAGGGAGCGGGGAATGGAACGGGGGGATGGATCGGGAGGCAGATGCAGCCAATAAAACAGTTTTCGTCAGCGCATCATATCATGAGCGGGCTAATAAATATTCACTTTTGAGGCACTGAGGCAGCCAGCAGAGAATCCGCCTGGGCTGGCACGCAGACCATCGCGAGTGAGCGAAATAATTGTGGCTGAGCCGTGGCTGCGATGTCTGCAATTTGGAGGCAGTGGCAGTGGCAGTGGCAATCAGACCTCGACCATTCTTGCTGTGGCACCATTTTAGAGCCATCCAACTGCTATAGCTATGCTATCCATCTGGCTATCCCATCCATTGTAATAACCATAATCTGGTAACTCGACACCCAATACCCAGTTTCCGAGCTCAAAGAGCAACGCATAATCCGGCGCTGCGTCTTGGTCTTGGCCACGGCAACTGGCCACCGCGACGGTCAATGGCAGCGTTGGCCACAAAAGCACAAGTAATGCGAGGCGACTTGGCGTGGTTTCGCTTACCAAGAAAGTGAAGCACTCAACTCTCAGCCGCAGCAGCATCTGCTACGCAATTGTAACAATGCGCCGGACGGACAGGCCGAGGCCTGGACCAAAGCCCAGGCCGAGGATAGGCATTGAAAGGAAAGTGACGATGCGGCTCTCTGCAAGTTGTTGCGGGCGGTTGGTCGGTTGGTCGAACCGAAAGCGGTAATCCGATGCCGCGAATACTCGCCATTCATCCAACTGCCCGCATTCATCCGCAGGTCCAGATTTGTGCCTGTGTCTTTGGGTTTACGTGTGCCATCGCAGTTTAATGATCCTTGACTGCAACCGGATCCGCTTGGACCGACAGGGCGGGGCAGCCAGCGGCGTATTTGGCTCTTGGAAATTCGCCTCGTCATAATTGGCATTGATTTCAATATTTGAAAGGGGTGGAGCCCACAGTGAACGCACTTAAGTGAAACTAAAAGTTGCCACAATAAAATTAGTGTTTCATTATAATCAAATCCAAATGCCAGCCAAAGACAAAAGTCTTTTACTGCATCAAAGAAATTGGATATAGATCTGACCTAATAGTCCTATTGAAACCTCTGCAAGTGCTTTGACCTGTGCTAATTGAAACTTACTTCCTAAAATTTTACAACCTGCAAAGGAGCTGCCTGAGCTGCTCCACAAAAGTTTTGGCCACTTTGTTTATGGCGAAACTTTGTCTGTCTTTGGCCCAGGATGCAACGGCGCCAAGAGCTAAAGTTTCCGCTGCATTCCTATTCAATTTCTAAGCTATTTGCGCTCAGGCTTCTTTGATAAGCAATTCAACGGCGAGTCCATTGAAAGGCACTTTGACTTGACGAAACTCGAAACGGACGAATTCCTTGTGAGAGCACTCAGGTGCTCTTGGAATTGTTCACTCTGACATAATACAACCCATCTTGAGCTGCAAAAGTTGTTCGCCACCGGAATGCTACATCCCAGCATGACCACCGGATTTGTCAAGGCTGACAATCGAATTGACTCTCTGGCAGTCAATCAGCCAAAATTGTCAGGGGACATGCAAGAAATGCAAGTCGCCTGGAAATTGGCGGGCAATTAAAGCTTTTTAGCTATTTAAAATGGGTTTTATTTTCTTTCCAATAATATTGTTTATTTTGCGGCCAATTACGTGGCATATTGTTGTTTGCTTTTGCCACTCATTCAGTTGCATTGCAACTTTGTTTTCACCGGCACAAATTTCGCTTGCGTTTCAACCGCACTGCGGGGCCTTGTTTGTTTTCTTCGGTTGTTTTTCTACACTTGGCTTATCGATTGCCTGAGCCCAGCGATTCGTTTAATTTATTTTAATCTAATTGTTTTATAATTAAAAACTATTTCTATTGGATTTCACCAGTGCGTGTCAAATGTAAACACATTTGCGGTTGCCGTGGCATCTGCCAGCAGTTTGCAGACTTTTTTTGTGGCAGTTGCCGGATTTAAGTTATGGCTCCTGCTGCTGATTCACAAAAACCGCAGGACACAAGATTTCATTGCACTTTGTGGCTGATTTTCATCCGGTAATAAAAAGGTTTTGCGGTCCACAAATGTGTTGCATACTTTTCGGCCGCAAGAAGTTCACTGTCTTTGTGGCATACTTCCAGGAGTTGACACACACAGTAGAGCCTCGTAAATGAAGACTCTGAATTTTTCAAATGTATGAAAATTAATAATACATGTAGCAATGAAATTTAGCTTCAACCTTCTGCATAGAAATTATATTATATATCGAATCAATATTAAATGTAAGAGCTAAAGAGACTATGGTATTTTTCCAGGCTTCCTATAGAATCTCTCTGCAGCAGAACAGTAATCAAATAAAACCCAATCCGATCCAAGTGTCTGTTAACTATCCATTAGTCATGCATACTTCACCTGCCTCAGGTTCAGTCTCAGCCTCCGCCCCACCCAATTCAGTTAACAATTGCTGCTTCATTCAATCAACTTGATTCCGTGCAGTACAATGCACGTTGCACCTTTGGGCCCATTGTTGAATGTGCCGCAAATAAACTGAGACTCTTCTAATGATGATGATGATGATGATGCTGCACAACAATCAATTATAACAAGTTGCCGATTCGTATAAAGATAGAGACCCGCATTTGGATTTGGATTCAGATTCACGTTAGGCCACAATGGGCCCCCACTCAGATGAAGCGAATCGAACTTTTGTCTGCCCAGCACTTTCCTCCACTTCCACTTCCAGTGAACCTGAATCTGAATCTGAAGCTGATGATCTGCTGCCAGGGGGAGAGACTTTCTTTTTATTGCCGTCACTATGGCCGACACCGACACACAAAACCAAAACCGACACCGACACAAGGCAAACGTAACGAGTTCAGATCAATTTTTGGTTCAATAACGTATTGACTTGACTTTTTTTTGGTTGGTTTTTACTGTTGTTGCGGTAATGTATTTAGTTTTTTTTTTGGGTCTACAAAATTTCCAGAAAATGTGTGCATGTGTATCTGTGTGTGTGTGTGTGTTTGTGTTGGACAACAATATGATAAATATAAAAATTAATACATTGAGAGTGAAAGTTATTTCTTTGGGAGCGCAGTCGATCATCATCATCATTGATGATCATCATTGATGATCATCACTCTCAAATGGAGCGGCAGTGCCAGAGAAATGGCAATAATGACGATCGATGGGGGATTTTGATGCTGAAAAGTTGATTTCTTTCCGCGGCTCCGATGGACCAAAGTCACGATAACTTGATTAATAAGTTTTGTGGTATTACAAAATACCCCAAAAAGATGAACAAAATATGATGTTGTTTGGTTTTCGGTTGTTGGCTGGTGGCTGTTGTCTTATGAAATCCACAGAAGACTCTCTGGCTGCCTCTTTCTAATTAAATGATGGCCTCACAAAACCCCGCAGACCTGTGATACGCTACACGCTAACCGTGGCACCCTGTTACCATTTCTACGGTCGAGCGACCCATTTTTATGACCGTTGCATGAGCAGTCAAACGCAAATTGCTACTAAACGTCTTCATCGCTCATCTCTGGGGCGGGGTAACTTTCGCTTTTTTTGGCTTACACGCTCCCTCCCCGCCTCCTCCCCACCGCCCCACCATAGTGGCGTGTCGGTGTCGGCTAATGGAGTTGTTTGGGTGTGCAAGAGAATCGCAGACTGGTGTATGGGGCACTGGTACTGCTACTGCTACTAGGTGTGTGCTAGGAACAAGCCCAGCAGCACTTTGACCACTTCTAATTTGTATAATTTGGTGGCGATGGAGAGCTGCCATCGAGTTGAGTGAACCATTCCATGCCAGAGATGGAGAGAAAGAACCAGCGGAGCGCATCCCACGGGCCGGTCGACCAACTGACCGTTGAAAATTGAAAAAATTGCAACGGCCACTGAAGAAGAAAATTGCACGGCAAAAGCGAACGCAAAGCCAAAGAAACGCGAACCGAAAGCATTTTTCTTTTCAACGAACAGGAGCGCCATTGTTTTGTACAATTGTGACAATTTGGATGCCGAGATGCTTCACTGGCCGTCTGGCCTGGCCAGGCCGCAGATTGGCCATTCTGGGAAAGTGGCCCCGGGAAATGTGGAGTATAAAATATGACCAGGTGATTGTCAAGGCTTTTAGTTGAACTTGAAACGTATTGCCGACATGTTCCGCGTCTTGCCACTGCTCTGCCTTCTGCTGGGCCTCTCCACTGCTCGGTCTGCGGAGAACTGCGATCAGGACCCCACCGCCACGCTCTTCTGCCGGGGCGAGCGCGCCCTACGCAACGTCCTGAGGAACTTAAACAAAAGCGACAAGCCGCTGGTGGTGGTACGGGGACTGGAGATTGTGCCGCTGCCAAATGCCATAGCAGTCGAGGAGGATTCCGATTCCGAGCAGGGCCTGCTGGACAGTCTGGCCTTCTATCTGCGAAACCACGAGGTGAATGTGAAGCTGGCCTACCTACTGGAAGACGAGACCAAGGGCGAGGTTTCAGGTGCGTTTCTTGTGGATTAAAGTGAGAAGAAATTTGACATTAAGCACTCTGCACAAATATAACTGAATGCCTGACAAGAAATTTGGAGTTCGTGCATGTCCAGGCATCAGTTATGTACGAGCATGTCAGAGCCACATAGCTAAAGTATTTGAGCCAAAAAACTGCACAGCACAAAGGCTAGAATTCCGACACAGAGCCGCATTAAGCCAAGCAAAAAACGAACCAAAATGTGTCAGCACTGCAGTGCTGCATGCCAGATGGAATTCACTCATAGCTGTGGCGTATTTGTATTTCTTTCAGAAGCCCGCAAAAAGGACAAGGGCCAGGGAATGCTTTTGGCCATGGCCCTGATGTTTGGCAAAATGATGGCCGTGCTGGGACTCGGCGGCATTGGAGCATTGGCCATGAAGGCGCTCGGCGTGTCTATGGTGGCTCTAATGATGGCCGGAATGCTGGGTCTGAAAACGGCAGCGCAGCATGGCGGAGAATCCAGTCACAGCATTTCGTACGTAACCGGCGAGGGACACCATCACAAACGCCGGCGCCGATCCACGGGTCAGCAACCCATCGCCTACACGGGCTGGAATTGATTCCCTGCTGTTGTTGCGCTCTTTGTTAGTTCCTATGTAGCATATTAATAACTTATCCATCGTGCAATACACACAAGTTGTTTCTGTTCCCAACCGAGTGGAGTGCAGTGGCGAGACACTCGAGACATTGACTCGTCTGATATGGACTCTGGACAGTCGTGTCGCTCTCTTGCTACGGTTGCTGTTGCTGCTGTTGCTGTTGCTGCCTGGGATGCTGCTGCTCTTTGGTTTATGAAATCGGTGAAAGTTTATTTGAGCAGAGCTCGCGTATTGTGTTGCCAGCATCAACAGCACAAAGCAGGCGGCACCAGAAGGCAACCTACACATGGCCACATCAGTTGTATATTTGTCGCTATACACTGGCCTCGCATCGGGCCACATAGTTTGTTCAGGAAACTTGAAATTTTCAAGGGTTTGGGTACTCTTAGGTGGATACTAAAAGCTAGCCTTGCGCTAGCTAACAGTTTTCATTGCCGCACTTAGCTACCCTGTACTTTGGGTTTATCAGCTGGAAAAAATGTTTTATACATTGAAGAGCATTGGGAGTTCGTCTTGCCAAAGAAATCGAGTTCGTATTACCTCCTGCTTGGGCATGGTGTCATCATTTGTCAGCCAGCTTTCTTGCACTCTTATCGATGTTGGTTCCAGATACCGGATATCAGAGTTCAGATACCATTCAGCTTCATTCTCTGCTGGAGATTGAATCTGAACTTTTATTTTCGGTGGAATCTGGTACACGAGCACAGATACGGGCTGCGGATGGAATTTGCATAATGCGTGGCCAACTTTCACTGTATTTTGGCAGCACAACGGTTCTTTCTGGTGGCTTCAACGGTCGTTGGTCGGACCACGACGACCACCTAAACTGCCATGGGCAACAGCAACAGCAACAACAAATAACTGCCATGACAGACCTGAATTATTTTTTTTTTCTGTTTTTTGGTTTTTTGGGCACGCTGCGTTCTGTTACACAATATCATTAAAAGCAACAGCAACCACAGCACTCGAACAGAAAACCCGTTAAGCGCTCGGCAGGGATACCATGCCGCATGCCATACCCGAGAGCAACTTGCTCTACCTCTACCTACAACTCCACCTCTGCTTCTGCCACGAACCTTGCGCCCCTGCCTAATTGCTGTGTCTACTACGGTGGTGGCTACTCTGGTGGCTGCTGCCAATGCCGATTCTGCCTCTTCTTCTGCTGCTGTTGCTGCTGCTGCCGCTGGGATATTGTTGGTAACTTTCCCTTTTCAACGGCGGTTTACGAGCTCGAATTGAGCTTGCGTTTGGTCAATGTCTCGTCTCGTCTGCCGCCTGTAATTAAATTATAAAATAAGTTCATAAAAGTGAATTTGTTGTTTTACAATTTGATTATGATCGCCGCAAACTGGAGTTTATATAAACGCAACAGTAGTTGCGCGAAATAGATTCTCTAAGTTGTAGGTACTCTTTGATTTTTATCATCGTTATTATCATCGTTCGGGCATCCTACCAGTCGTTGGTTGACAATAAAACCTCATGCGACTGGGTTTATGAGCACGAAAACTTCAAAGATGATGATAATGACGACGCCGACGACGACGTGTGTGAATGCTGCCGCTTGGGCTGCTGTCATCGGTCCACTCCACTGCATAAATGAAAGTTCATAAAGAAATTAGCTGATTAATCGTCGTTCGATGAGCTTGGAAAATGACCAAGACAAGACGAGCTGGAGCTGGAGCTGGAGCTGATGCTGAAGCCGATGCTGAAGCTGACTGAAAGTGTCACGCAGCCTACATTTTAGTCGCTGCCACAAAATTTCACTTTTCAATGATGCTGCCTGCCATCAGCTGAGCGCTCCCCGTTTCGAATGTAAATTAATATTTAACCCAAATACCGCAAATTCTTTATACGAATCGCTGCGCCCCCATACTCGTGCCAGTTGAGGATGAGATGCCATGCCCCAGCTGGACAAAGTCTGGCTTGGGCCTGAATCGGAGTCTGTATACATAATCTTTTTTTTTTATTCGGTACCAGCATTATTATGCAAATTTCGTATTAATTCAAATGACCGTAAAAGGGAAAATCTGTTCTATTAACTTGACATTTTTATGGTTTTGTGAAATCTTTTGTCCGCTCTGGTATATTTTTAGGGTGTGTGTGGGTTTCTACTCCAAGTTACTTTTACTTATTAAATTATGCAGCTCTGATGGTAATCTGGATCTGCAGCTGAAGCTGAGAAAAGTAATTATTATTTAATGGAAACTCGATGGCCAATTATCTTGAACAAGTTGAGTTCCCCTTCGCCGACTCCTTTATATACATATGTATACACTATGTAATCCTTCCGATTTTCCGGTTTTATTCTTTTTCTCTTATGCAAACTAAATTGCATCATCGCATTTCACTTTCCTTGATTCCTTGACACCGTTTATCAATTTATTTTAATGCAAATATTTCATATATAAATACATATATCTGGTGCCTGTTGTGTCGCCGCTGCTACGGCTGCTGTGTGGATATATGGCTTACTTCTGACCACGACTTTCACCGAAACATTTCTGTTATTTATTCATTAAATTTTTGCTGCTGCTCTGCTGCTGCTTTCTGGCCCTCCGATCTTTTTGTTGCTGGTTCTGCTTGTGCTGTGTAGTTGTTGTTCAATAATAACACGCACACCTACATGGAGCATACGGAATTCTTTTCGCATGACCACTTAAAGAGAAAAAAGTCCAAATAAAATTAAATGTAAAATCAACAAGAAATTTTTTAGCTTTGCAAATGCAAACACACCCACAATATGGCAAATTGATTGGCAAAATACCAGCCAGGTGAGAAAAATATGTCAGCAAACAATGTGAAATGGTGCTGCCAATTGATTTGCTGTCCAATCAGAGTCTTTCACTGCTTTTGTTACTGCTGGCAGTTGTTACTGCTGTTGCTGCTGTTGCTGCTGTTGCTGCTGATGCTTTGGTGCGGTACATCAACATCACCGTTAACTGAATAAACTGCAACGCCAGCGCCAACGATAGCCATCAAACTATCAAGCATCGTCTCTAATTGGTGGCCAGTGTTCCGTAATGTAATGCACGCTTTTCCGCCCGGCCCGGCGATGCTTTCGATGCTTATGCAAATCAGTCGAAAAATAAAAGGAAAAAAAAAACTTTCACGGCTAAACATTTTGACTCTAATTTAATTCAAATGGTCAGAGAAAAAAACCAACACAACACTGCCGTCTGCTGATAAATAATACAGTAAAATTATCTTCTGTGTGGGACACAACGGTCATCCCCGTCGTCATATCGTATTCGTCGTCGTTTCGTTCGACCAAACTAATGAGTTTCGAGCCCAAATTGATGTCAGCCAAAATGAAAGTGAGAACACGATGATATCTCCAATGATTATGGCTGGGCCGAAAAGTAATCATCCATTTAAATCAACTCTCGGATCTCTGATCTCCGATCTGTTGGTTCGAGACGACGAAGTCCCGTTCCCGTTGGCCTTATAAGTAATGTTATTATGTAGATTTCCCATCCTGATGATATTTGCTCACATTTGGGGTGCGTGGAACCAACTTTCTTAAGCCCAAAAAAAGCAGTAGAGCAATTACAATTTGACTAATTCCCAAAAAAATGATGATTCCCCTTTGATTTTATCGGATTTAAATTTTCACATATTATCGAAATATTTTCTTATTTCAGCTGATTCATTCTGATGTTGAAACCTTTTTTATTTTTATTATTTATAGCTCTACAGCTGCGTTCTGAATTTGGTAAATATTTGTCTTAATTAATCCTTGAAATAATACTCGTAAAATGTCCATTGATATAAGACATCCCCATTCATCATGTTGAAGTTTAGTTTATCCTTGAAAGAAATGGAAAATAAATATAAAAGGCGACTGTTTATTTTAAAGGGAAAATGGTTTTTTTTTCCAATGGGTCAAGCTGATGTAATATTCGGACACACAAGCAGTGCATTGTTTTTTCTCTTTTCTTTTTTGTTGAGCATTTCGAGACATTTGGCAATTTGTTTACCCTGCTCTGTGGCAGCCATAAACAATAACACCAGCAGTCGCAGTGGCAGTGGCAGTAGCAAGAAAAGTGGCAAGAGCAACACCCCAAACATAGCAGCAACAACAACAAAAACAACAACATCAGCCATAACTTCATGCAGTGCAGGGTCCAACTACGAGCGAAATTCATTCATAAAAAGCACACATTGGTCGACACTTGGACGGCTGCTTTTCGCATGAATGGCCATGCCTGCTGGCCTGGCTGTTTGGCTGTTTGTCTGTTCGGCCATTGGCCATTGGCCATGCCATCGGCCGAACGCTGGCACATGCCAAATGGCTGGACGCGCTCGGCGCGTGGACCAACATAAGTTTGGTTGTAAAACGGATGTGCATCGGGGTGTGATTGAGCGCGCAACTAAGTGTGGTGTGTGCGCCTGCAGCGTAGCTATGTGTGTGGCGCACACTGAACTCATTTGCATTCGAATGTATGCCAATTGCCATCCGGTGAAAATTGAAAACAAAATTTCGGCTTGAAGATGGCCCAGACAAGTTATTATTGTGGTGTCGCTGTGATTTTCTCTTGCGGCCGGACGGATGCTGCACCCTTTTGGTTACGAAATGCTTCACTTGGTGGTCGGTTTTAAGCGCTTTACGCCGTTACCGTTACAGTCATTGACGTCACATGGGCCGGCCGCGAAAGCTGATTAAATTGTTGTAGAAAATTACACATACGCCCCATTGGCAATCGACAATTTGGCACCGCCGGCGGATCCATTATGCGGATGATTCAGGGGTTTCGTAAGCCACACAGATCCGTCTGATAGTGTCGGATGTCGTCAGTCACATTCACCTTGAAACGGGAGCCCGAGACCGAGCCCGAGCTCGAGCCCGAGCCGGGGAGTCAGCCATTGACTCTTTGCCACTGAACGGAGTTGAGTTGGGGCTCGTGAATTCGGGCTTCAACGCCATGCCCGCAATGCCAGCCATTCCCAGCAACCATCCATCCATCCATCCATCCATCTATACTCGTGTATCTATCTCACACCACACCGCATCTCATCTCATCTCTGTCGCATCCGTTTCTGTTTGCTCTTCGTGTAATTTCTCTTTCATTTCACTTGAGCAATTGAAGCGCGTTGTTATTTGCACTTTTGCTTAGCTCAAATTGTTGACTAATGTGTCACAATTGCAGAGTCAGGCAGTTTTTAATGATTGTGGCCCAAGGCAGCGTTTTCACCTGCCTGCCTGCCTATTCGACACCAAAAAGTAGAGAACGTGCCTATCATAGATCCTGATCAAAGCTAACATCGTCCTGCTGCCCTAGTTGCATAACCGGCGGTATAAATCACAGTTTATGTTGCGTAATAAAAGCTAACCGGCAGCAGCAATAACTAAAATGGTAGTTACAACAACAATAAACTCACGAAAATGAAAATGAAAAGTAATTTCAAGGCGCGCACATGCGATAAACCAAAACTATTCCCAGCCAGCCAGCCAGCCAGCCTGCCCTCTAGTACCCCGCTAGCCACCCCGCTCATGCGGCGGGGAACGGAGATGACACACAGAGCGGCCAGCGGCCAGGGGCCAGAAATAACAGTAGTATGAAAATATGTATAATACATACAACTTTCATTTCTTGCGGCCAAAAAAAACCGGAGAGGAGAAACAAAAACAAAAGCGTTCAAAATTAACAAAAGCAGAAGAATATGACATACATATGGGTGAGGAGTGTGGGGATGGGTATAAGAAATGGGAGAGAAGAGAGCACCCGATCAGGGGTGCTCTCTGCGGAAGGTTAAGCGGCACAGCGCACCTGTTTATCACCTCATGTGTTGTAATCTGTGCGGCTCCAGAAACACAAGCATCTTTAAATGGTGCATATGTACGTAAATGTATTTGTAGAATGCCACAAAAGGCACTCTCTGCTCATCTCTGCTCATCTGTGTATGTGTGAGTGTGAGCGACGCAAAGAAGATGAGCAGACAGAAGATTTCGGTGTGTGTTTGTGTGCTTATGAGAGTACGCGAGAGCAGACAGACAACCTTGGTGCTGGCTGAAGCTGACTGAAGCTGGCGCGCATGCTCCCTCTCTCTGCTCAAAACTTTCTCGCGCTCACACAGAGCCCTGTGCAGCCGCCTCCGCTGCCGCAGTCGCTGCTCACTGTGGAGTCGCCAGCGACTTTCTTTAATGCGGAAGCAGACAAAAGCTGTAAGCGCTGCCTGCGCCTGCCTAATGCGTCTTCTAAGCGTAGATGCTGAGATGCTGCCACAGCCACTGCCGCTGCCGCTGCTGCTGCTGCTGCTGCTGCTACTTCTGCTGTCACTGCTATTACTCTGAGCGAGAGAGCAGACACGTGTGAAGACGTTGTCGTCGCGGTCGTCGTTTGCCTTTGCGTTTGCTCGTGTCGTAGGGAACGCCGAGCCCTCTCGCGGCATGTTGTACCCGCTGCCGGCGTCGCTGCGCTGCGCTGCCTGGGTCTCGGCCTGGCCCAACCTGGCTCGGATCGGATCGTCTCGGCCTCTGTGTGTGTGTGTGTGCACTTTTTACATAATTTTACGTTATGCCGCGGCGAGGCATCCGTTAGGTTGGAAACTCTTTAAAAACAGCCTGACAGCGTCGAAAAATTATCAAACCGCAGCTTGTTCCATTCGAATGAACACACCAGTGATTTCGGTGGTGCCCAAGGAATTCAGTTTAGTTCAAAACCAACACACAACCATGAAGTTCTTCATTGCCACCGCATGTGTCCTGCTCTTGGCAGCGGGCATCTCTGCCGATCCTGTCAAGGCCGCCACCGAGGAGCAGTCGGGTGCATTTGCCAAGTGCCTCGACACCGACTCCATCTCGTGTCTGCAGCTCACGGTACGGATTAACCATCAAGGATTACATTACCCACATATAATAAGCCCAAATAAGCCCAATAAGAACACTCTAAAGTGGCACAGTGAAAGTGAAACGCCCCACCCCCCGAAAAAAAAGAAAACAAACCGAAAAAAAAAAACAATACCATCAGCAATCATCAGCCAGCTCTAATTGCTGATCGATCTCAGTGAAAGTCCCTGTGTCACGTGATTTCCCCAAGCAAGACATAAGCAACACAAATTCCCCAAGGATCCGAAAGTGAAAGTGCCTGAGATAGACCTTGACTCATTCTCTGCGGAGACACAACCGCCCATAAATTAACCATAAATCAAGACAACAACCACGAGTTTTGCTAATCTGTGCCTTCCGTGTCTCCCCCTTTTTCTCTGCAGCTCTTCCGCAAGGCCAAGTCCATCTTCGACAATCCCCAAATCGAACTTTTCGGCGGCGTCTCCCTGGTCAAGGCTAACGAAGGACGTCAGGGCAAGTCTCTGGACAACTCGGTGGCCGTCGAGGCCGCCCCCACCGTTGAGGCACGCACCGCCGAGATGGGCAACTACTTCATGGACAATGCCAAGAGCTTCTTCGCTGAGCGCTCCCTGAACTTCAACTTTGCCAATGCCGCCCGCAGCGTTGCCCGCGCCATTCCCGATGACATCAAGGCTGATCTTCGTGAACTGGTTGTGGAGTCCCGTACCCGCAAGAAGAAGCTCCTCAAGAAGTTCCTCCCCATCCTGTTGGGCGTTGGTGCTAAGATCGCTGTCCTCGGCGTTGGCTCCATCTTCGGTCTGCTCTTCCTGGCCAAGAAGGCTCTGGTTGTGTCTGTGATCGCCTTCTTCCTGGCTCTGGCTGCCGGCGCTTCCAGCGGTCTTGGTCGCATTGGCGGCTCAGGCGGCAGCGGCGGTGGTCTGCTCGGCGGTCTGGGTGGACTTTTCGGTGGCAAGAACGCCGGCGGTGCCTCGTCCAGTGCCAGCTCAGGTGGATGGTCCTCGGGTGGCGGTGCCGCCTCGAACAATGGCTGGTCCTCGGGCGGCAGCTCTGGCTGGGATACCCATGGTGCCTACAGCTCCCCTGTGGCCCAGACCATCGCCTACCAGGGCTACAAGCAGGCCAGGCGGTAAGCTCTGAGCCCCACACATCCCCTCGAAGCAGGACCCCGGACGCCGTACGCCGTACTCCGGCATCGACGTCCAGGTCCGTGAAGGAGAGAGAACATTCGCGAAAATGATGACCAGTTAATTAATGCCTATATTTATATTTACTTATAAATTATTTATTTTAATTTATTTACTTGAACGAGACGAGAGTGGGGCGGCGGTCGCTCCTGGCTGTCGCACCCAAACAAAAAGTGCCTTCCATTAGTAACTCTCGGCCCAGAGAGCCACCACCACCACCACCACAACCACACAAAAACACACACCACCACGTTTCATCTACACCAATAACACCAGCCACAACGAAAACAAAAACCGTCAACAACCTCCACCGCCTCTCCACACACACACCATAATTTCACTCCTGTCTTTACACTTCTTCAGTCTGTGCTCGCCACAGCTCTGCGCTCTACACTCTACACTCTATACTCAATCTGTAACTTCATGGCTGCACCTCTGATTTATGGACTGTAAGTGTTTGCAACCAACTAGTCGCGTCCATCAATCAAGGTCAGCCGCCTCGTCCTATCCATCTAACTGTAACTATCTATCATTTCTTCTCGCTATCTATCTATCTACCTCTGTCTATCTATCTATCTATATCTACTCCTGTACCTATATCTAAATCTATCTGTTTTTTCCAACTTTACCGCAAAGGAAAACTCAATCAAATGCTGATAAATCAAAGAATCAAATAATAATTCAACATACACAAAAAAAATCCTATACAAAAATTGACTCTCTTTATACTCTATACTCTACTCTACTCCACTCTACTCTACACTCTTCCTCTTCCTATCTTTCCCTATACAGCTATCTCTATTTCTGAAAAACTTTTCCCTTTCAATTTGCATACGCAACCTTTCATTCTCTCATCTGCTCTCCACAACAGCCTCTCGACAACATCACTCATACGCCTCGTTGTCTGGCCAGGCAATTTGCATTTGTATGGCGCGGGCAACTTTCATTTCATTCTTTGCTATCAGCCACAAAAATCGAACTCTGAAAATGTTTTCTAAAAAAAAATTTCACCCACTTATTTCATTTTTTCCTCCATCTCTGTCTACTCTTCTTCTTAATCTTCATTTTCACTGCACTTTCTTCGCTCTCTGGGGCCTCTCATTGCCAGAATACGAACAAAGCAATTTGCTAAAAATAAAACAAACATTTAGCTACGCGCATTTTGGCTCATTCAAGGCGGGGCCGAAGCTCTCCCGACCGACCAGGCGGCAACAATGGGCACTTGTATTTTAATATTTTTCACCTGCCGTTTGGCCATTGTTGTGCGTCTCTTAACACCTTTGGCTAAAGAAAGTTCGTGACGAGACGGGACGGGACGGGACGAGAGAGACGACGAGATGGTGGCGCAGTTCAGGGGCCTGGCACAATTGAGCCTAAGTAACTGCAGTTGCTGGCAAAACGGCATTTTACAGCCGCTGATGGGTGCTTTACTTATGAATATGACCCAGTTACCAGGCTCGCGTTGCGTTCGAGAAGTCGATTGGGATGAATGTCGATGTAGATGCTGTGCGCTGGCTGTGCACGTAGACAGTTGCCATTGACTGCCTCTGACTCTGACTGTGTGTCTGAATTCGACTTCAGGTTGAGTTCTCTCTCCGCAGGGCCCTGGCTTTCTCGCACGGCAGCAATTAATGTGTCGCCGACTGCCTTTTGAGCACTTTTCTATGCTCATTTGGGCCGCATCGCGTCTGGCCGCTTCACAGCGTTTTGTTGTTTGATTTGTTTAGCATCAAAAATTCTGCTTTTTGCTGCCGTTTATAGCACTATTTCTTCTTTGGTAGTGGGCACACATACTCATGCACACGCTTACGCTTACTCGAACAACTCTCTCATGACTCGGTTTTTTTGGGTTGTTTGTTAAGTGAAATTTCTAAGTAGTTCTCCATGGACGGTGTCACGCTTAAAATCAATTGCCATTGTCCAGACACACAGAAACACGCCTAGTTCGGAAAGTCATTCCCGTGTGTCAATCAAATCGAACAAAAAGGCACCTCAAGACAATCAATCTCCCACACAATCGTGTCATAAATGTTCTGCAGCAGAGAATAGCTGAGAAAAGGGAAAGTATGAGGAAATCGATGTAGCTTTAAGGTCGTCTGGGAAAAATCTTTTGTCGAATCATTTTTGTTCAAAAAATTTGAATCTAGACAGGATAATAATGTGCTGTGGTACCCATTCCTTAAGGGCAAAATTAATGTCTAAATAATGGAAAAAAACAACCTGGAGGCAAATCAGCTCAGACACAATAGAAAAAAATAGAAGAAATGTGTTAATCCGCTGGACGGTTCGTAGTCAGGGCTAGTAAACAGAAACGGAGTGAATTTCCAGCAAGAGATGGGACAAAGTAAGAATAGGGAGACTTCTTGGCACATTGCATGGACTAGGTGGCATTATTGCACTGATTATTGTATGTAAATTATACACAAAATATGCAATGGTTAACAAGAACCATATTAATATTTATGATATGTTTGGACCTGTATAAATCCTATTCCCTTTGATCTAGGTGCAACGACACTGTAAAATAGCTACCGTTACCTAAATTCTACGAACGATCTACACAACGATCGTTTGGTTGGAGTGAAACTCTGCTTGATCTAAACTCAAAGCTTTTGCTTAAAGATCTTTTACAAAAAGCTGTACTAAAAGTTTGTAGGAGAAAGCTTCAGAAAAGCTTAATAAAAATATCGATACGAATGATATTTATTTTTTGACTAACTTTTGCTAGCTACACCTTGTTAAATTCCATGTAAAAATCACGTAGAAATTCCATTTAGTGAAGTTTCCGACCCATCGGTAATCTTCACCTGGTCTCAGAATATAAAATCCATGTTTTAAATATAACAACAAGAGGGTAGCATATTTTATTATTATTTTTTTAATCTCAGTTTCATTCATACAATTATTTTTTCATTAAAATAATACAAATATGGCCGACTATGCTTCTGAACCTAGAAAGTGGCGTTAAAATATCCCACAAAAAATATAATTATATCATTATATCAATTAGATCAAAAAAATATATATGTACAATGTACATATGTATGTATGTATGTCCAAACATTGAAGAGCTATGTCTGAGCTATTTAAATTTTGAGCTAGTTTGCCTCAAGGCTGATTTATTCAATTATTTAGAAAGAAATTTGGCTCTTAAGGAGGGGTAACACAGGAATTTATTCAGACTAAGCTTTAAATTTATTGTGCATTACACATCATTAATTTCAATGTAAGCCATAAAAGGAAACATTCGTAAGAAGCTGTCAAATGAGCTGAGAACTAACTTTTGATTCTACTTTTTTTTAAAGACCGCTTCAATTAACCTGAATAAAATAAATAGACATTGAATTTACGAGAATGAAATAGAAAACGAATTCCTTCTTTCTTGTTTTATTTGTATTTTATTTATTTCTCGATCAGGTGCCTTTGTCCAGAGCCTTTTACGGTCTGGAAAACCTGTAAGCTCTTGGTGGTAGTGATGCTGGAGGGCGTCTGTGTGGTCTGGTCTGCTCTGATCCCAACTGGCGTGGAGTGCTCCAGCCAGCGCCCAGTCCGAGAGCTTTTCCGGTTTGCCGTATGGCAAATGGCAGTTGGCGGTTGGTGGTTGGTGGTCGCCACTTTGTTTGGGTCAATGTACAGTTTACGGATTTGGTTTTGAAACGCTGGCCATTTCACTCCGCAGAGACAGGGACGGGACGGGACCGCATCCGACGGCAGGTGCAAGGTGACGGGTGTAAGGAGGCCAGGTGCAGTCTGTGAAAGTGTTGCAACTTCCATGGGTGGTGGCAATATTTTCATAATACGACCGGGCGTGCTGTTGAGGCCTGACATTGAATAATACAGTCGCCAATGCAGATGCAGGGCCGTACGGATAACAGTCAACGCAAAGTAAATGGAATTGAATGGGGCATCTGGGCATGGGCATGGGCCTGGCCCACAGGCAGTAAAAGTATAATTTTCAAGTGGCATTTACAACTTTTCGCACACTGCTAAGCCGCTACAGCGCCGGCCGAGCAGAAGTGTGAAAGTTGTCAGTTTGCCACTTGGGCATTGTCAACATATTAACGAACGGAACGGAACGGGGAACCAAACAAGCCGATCATGTCCATCATGTTGGACGCGGGGTTGGCTTGGACAACTCGTTTAACGATTACAAAGCATGCAATGGAGAGTTGAGTTGCTTTTGGCCAACAAAAGAACAAATGTCGACGACAACGAAAGTGAAATGTTTCCGCGACTCCGATCATAATTACGACAATGACAAAGTTTTGGTAATGAAATGAAATGAAATTGAATTGCCTTGAAAGTGAAACCTGAGCAATTAAAACGGCTATTGCCACGCCCCTGCTTCTTTGGCGTTGCGTTTCCCTGCCTACCACCGAGCTTTCGTTTCTTGGTGAACTTTTTCTTGTTTTTTTTTTTTTTTTGTTTCTTCTGTCTCTCGTTTCCTCCTACTCCTCTTTCTCCGTGATCTTTGGCGATTACACAATCTGGGCGGGACAGCAGAAAAAGGCGCAAGATATTTGCATTTCATGAATCGGCAATTTTGGACGAAAAAATTTTTAGAAACGAAAGAAAGAAAAAGCCAAATCCCAAGGCGAGGGTAAAACTGATTATGAAGTGGAAACTCTCACTTTTACGATTATTTTTCTTATGGCTTTCGGTCGGCATGATCTCCACCATCCACCATCATACTCATCGTTGTCGTTGTTGCTGGCCCTGCCTGCCTGTCGTGGCCTGGGCTGGCTTCTCCATTGTTACTCGCATTGTGTCTTCTGTCCCATAATGATTAGACTTTCTGCAGCTAGAAAAGGCAGGCATAAAACTCAATTTTATGCTCAGTTTTTGTAACTGATTGGCCAACCCCGATCGGTGTCATGAAAGCCGTAATTTCATGTGATTTGGAGCAACACTAAATATCTCAATTAGAAGTTATTGTAGGGACTGGAAATCACCTGATGTGGGTCAGGCCTTTCTCTGACACTCTTAAAACCAAAACCCAAACCAAAACCAAATGAGTTCCCCCCACTGATGAGCTGCCATCGATATGGATATGGGACGCATTTGTATGTTCCAACTCCAACCCATTCCAAGATCCCAGCATTCTTCATTCATTCAGCAAAATATCTAGCCCAACCCT